CCTTCAACACGTCCTGAACCGGACTTAAAACCACCTTGGGATGGAGACTGGGAACTTGTGAAAGACTGAGACCCTGAACCACTCTTTTTATATGTGTCTGAATTGGTAGAATTACTGCTAGTCTGAGATCTTGAAACAAAATTCTTTTTATGAGACAGAGCATAAGTATCAGATATGACTGCTGCCTCTTCAAGAGTTTTCACATTCTTATCTTCTTAATGTGTTTTCAAATCTTGAGGAACACATTCCTTAAAATTTCTTCTACCAGGATGACTTGGCGCAGATTAGCAAAAGTTTTATCAAGTTTCTTAGATCTAAACCAGTGATCGAATAAATCTTCTTTCTCTCGTGAAAATTCAACAAATGTTTGATTATCAAACTTTCTATACTTTCTGAACTTTTGTCTATACGCTTCAGGTACTAATTCATATGCTTTTAATATTGCTGCTTTGACCTTCTCATAGTCTGAACTTTCAGCTACCCCTAGTGCAGAGTATACTTCAGCTGCTTTGCCAACCAGTACACTTTGTAACATTGTTGACCAAACGGGTTGTGGCCATTTAAGATTCTCTGCGACTTTTTCGAATTGGGGAAAATATTTGTCTACAGATTTTTCTTGAAATTTCGGAACTAACCTAATATTTTTTGCTGCGTCAAATTCAGTTTTGACAACTGATGGTTCAGGTTGGTTCTGTAATTTTAATTTCTCTAATTCAAAACTCATTTCACGCTCTCTTTCTCGCTCTTGTCTTTCTAATTTGTCTAATTCAAATTTTCGTTCACTCTCTCGTTCTTCTCTTTCTCTTTCTAATTTTTCTCTTTCAAATCGCATTTTCTCTAACTCTAATTGAAACTGATATTCTGCCATTTTATAAGAGCCTAACTCTGATTTAACTGTATATTCTGGAAGATCGTATTTTTCAAAGATGTTTTCTTCTACTAGTTTGTTTGCAACCTTAATTCTAATGTCTTGCTTTTTCTGAGAGGATTTAACATCTAACCCAAAGTGCAAACCTAATGCGATCAAGTCATCCTTTTTTAACGTATCAAAAACCTGAACACTTGGTGAACTAAGAAAGTCTGTGACCGAAAACACCATGTTGATTTCTGCTGGCTTATAATTAAATTTAAGGTTCAATTAACAAAAATTCTGACAATAAACTGCAAAAGTGCAAGAAATTCTTTATCCCGGACGAGCCCCCAATTCTGTTATGGGTCAGAATTACCCGAAATGCCAGCAAAGATCAATAACACAATTTAAACTTAACAATAATTTATTTACAGTAATATATAATAAATATATCAAACATAAAGTACAAACTTAGCAAGAATCTAAAAATACATACATCAGAGTGTCCGTTGCTGCACACAATGTCCCAGTGAAAATATATCCCATTTATATCTCAATAGTACTTATACGACAAAGTATATCTATGCATCGAATTGACAGGGTATTTATACAGTAATATAAATCTAGAATATTCTAGAAATTGTTAAAACATGATATTACTGGAACAATCTGGACATACACAAAATTTAAGAATGTTCTAGATAAAATGACCAAACATGTTGACCACTCTGGAATGTTCAAGAAACTCAATGTTACTAATTATATACATAATGAAACAATACACATCTCACAACACCAGTTTTTCCTGATAGAAACATGAGAAAGACAAGTTAAGGGTATCGTCATCATAGAGGGGAGCTTCCTAGAGACCTTTATAACTTCCGTGAATATTCTTTACAATAATTCATCTGAGAACAAATCAATATCTAATGACGAAACAATCACTAACATAAAATGATGATAAAAAACAAATAATTATTCCACTAGTTTTTGCCGACATCAGACTCCTGATTGGCCTTTGTGTATATTACAGATCGTGGCACGCCTGTTAAACGTAAGTTGTATAAAACGTCATTGTTTTGTGTGGAGATTTTTCAGCATTACAGAAAGCATGCACTTCTCTTGCCAGTTTCGGGTCGTTTTGTCATTAAATGCCACAGCTTCCCTAAAGAGTAACATTTTTGTCTATGTTATATAAATGTATAATTAATAACAAAACGAGTTTTGTATTTAATGTAGAATTTTTCACCACACTAAGCGATGTGCTGAATCATAAATCTGTCTACTTCGGGTTGTAAAAAAACTCTGTTTTGAGATGGCACATCATTATTTCATACAAAAAAGACATATGATAAGTTACATTCAAAAGGTTAAAAGAAGAGATAATAACTAGTCCTATAAAAATATATGTTACTTTATATACATACTATGTAAATAAAAGTTACTTATTATTTCATATGTAAATGAAAGTTACTTATTATTTTTGTATAACAATGTATACAATAAGTTAGTATATGTATATGAAGGTAACTTATTATTTGTGTTTATAAGATCTAGATATAAATAAATAGACAGACGCATATAGTACATGACTCTTAACAATAATGCAACTGATTAGCCATAAATTTGTTATTAACAAATAACAAATAATAGTACACTGATTTGAAAGAAGCATCAAATGATATAATAATTGCATCAAAGTATCAATTTTAAAGAAATAAAAATTTAATAAATACCATTACACACACTCTTCATATTTTAATGTGAATAGAAACGTGTAAATTAAACATTATTGACTTTCCATTTTATGTAACTTGCAGTTGAAATTAAGATATGACTATATTAATTACTTACACTCATTTAATAGAAAAAAAAATTAATAAGCATTTCACATAGCCCAAAACGTGTAAAATGAAGCAATTTATCCCTGAAATAACAATTGGTGTTTCTTCTTTTTCCTCAGGTGCTTCGGTGCTGCAAGAAATTCTGGATGAAATTAAAGTAAAAGTAAAAAAGTTAGAGGAAAAATACAAGAAAAAGATGGCAGAAAAAGGAATTGTAAGTCAGGGATGCCTAATTTTAATTTTAAAACTATTTTACTACTGCATTTTTACAAAGATTTCTGTTAAAAGATTATCTTAACAACAATCATAAAACTTTTTAAAAGATTTTATATTTATTGTTTCTATAAATTGACACAGAAATCTGGGAAATTCATCACGAGACATGGCGACCCCGGAGAAGCAATAGTCCATGTAGCAGAGAGGGAGAATTGTTCTCTTATCATCACCGGAAGTAGAGGAATGGGCGTCATCAGGCGGACTATTCTGGGAAGCGTCAGTGATTACGTCGTTCATCACTCCCCCTGTCCTGTACTTATTTGTAAGGCTGCAGCAAAGGAACATAAATGATTGGACCAATAAGTATCCCTGCCAGGGGCGAATCTTTATACTAAGTAGTATCATGTTATACATTAGTACTGATGCCGAGAGAGAAATAGACATTTTTTATATCATTTGCAGCGGGATAAGTATTTCCTGCCGATACTGCATGTATGATGATAATGTTAATATAAATCAATAATAACCTGATGTGATTTGGCAATATTTTGAATTGTTCAAAATTGCTTATCATTTATATTAAACAGAAGAAACAATATCCTTGTCATCTTTTAACAAGTATAGGGTCAATGGTCTCGTTTGAAATCAACGTTTAGCAAATTTTATGGTCGATACAATGAACTTGATGGCAAATACAATCTTATATTACGTTAAATGCTGGCTGACGTTTACCATACTAATTGTTTGACAATTTTTTACACACTGAATTATCTAGAAAATTTTCTTTCATGACAAGGAGCACTTTGCCTTAACCGCGGTCGACAGGGCTTGTTTACGCTTACCTTGTAACCTGATCTAACCTCTGATTTGTGGTCCGTGTTTGCTCTGCTCTAGATTTGCATTGCTTTAATGTAATTCTTAGCGCTTTGATTGCTGTTCTTTTTCAATATTTAATTTAAACGCCATTTAGAGTTGCCCTTCTTTTCTCAGATGCAATATCTTAAGGTTTTAAAGTCATTAAATGAAAGGTAATTTATCACAGATAAACAATAACAAAGGAAAACTGTCGCCCTCATGGCGCAGTGGTTAGAGCATCTACAGAGTCGCGAAGTAAGAAATTGTTCCCTATGTTGCATGTTCGAATCCTACTGTGGGACGTGGAGACCGATCCTATACGTAAATCAAGGTCCCTTGTCGCAGTAGGTTCTGACACGAAAAAGATCCCTCACTGCCCAATGGCCCTCGAAGCCGAGTATTTGTCAAAATTTTAGCCCTTTAGCCGTAAATGATGGCGTCCCCATATGAATGAAAAATTCTCTAGAGGGAGGTTAAAACAACGACAAACAAATAAAACAAAGGAAAAATTAAAATCAGATCGTGTTATCAAATACATAAAATCAATCAGAAGAATTCAGCAACAATGGTTCCCGAACTAAGTCACACTGGGTTCCCATCATTATTCAATAATGCTTCCTTATGGAAAAAGGAATAAGAAGATGTATTTCTGTTTTTATATATAATTCAATGAACCATTAATGCTTTGATGAGGATATTGGACTAGATATGAACTTTCTTTATTGAGTGCTTGCTACCTGTCCACGTTTTATGGCAGACGTTCGATCCCTATGTTCATTTAAGTTATAACGTCCAATGTAAAATTGGTTGTTTATGCATATGAAAGAGATGTTCTCAAAGAAGTCGCCAGAATAAGAATAAGGAACAAGGATGTTGCTACTTTTATACTTGTATCTTCACAATCTTCTCCAAACTGGTAAGTTTTTATTGACATAATATTCATACTTTCATAAAACTCTGCTCGCTAGTTTGAGTTAATTTGTGCGAGTTGATTTGTAAGTTTGAGTGTTTTGAATCATTTTTCGGCAAATAGAAACTTGCTAGTATACATCAACTTAAAGCTGCCTTATTGCTCTAGATATCATCAGTGCAAAAGAAATAGAAGTGGTGGGACACATCAGGATAGATTCCATGTCCGAGCTGCCTACACTGTACAACAGCAGTTTGAAATACTTGAACTCTAGAAAAATTGAGAAGAATACTGTAATGTGTTATAATCTCCATGTCAACATATCATTTCAAGATGACGAGGACGTTCGGGCTATAACACTTAGAATTTCAGCAGGAGGTCACAAGGTGAAAGGTTTTCTGGACAATAAAGGATTTAATTGATTTGATTCACAATAAATAATGGATGTTGAGCATCATGTTATTTCTATTTTTAAGGCTTAAATGAAATTAATTTTGTTCTCTTTTTTAAGCTGGAAAACGACTCACAGATTTATATTACCTCACTCAATCACACAAAGGTAATGGAAAAAGTCGGATAAAATAAGATTATCTTGAATGTTTTGAACTTTGTGAAACCAAAACATCCAGTATAGCACATTGATATAATTGAAAAGGATGAATAAAAGGCACAATGTAAGTAGATTTATTGAAAAAAGACCTAGAATAGTTAAGAAATAATTATCATACTTAAACCAGTTTATTGCTTGCAAAAGAGTATTTTCTTCTTGTAATGGTTTTAGCTTTTGGTTTTCTTTGGTTGTTTCTTTCTTATCTTCTTTGCATTTCTTTTTTAAGCACCAACTAAACTCCGACGAAATAAGCGATTCAGAAATAATCGTAAACATTCAAAGAAATGAGAGCGATTTTCTTACAGTAGAAGGAAACTACAGCATCAAAGCAAATGGTAACTTTGCATATACATGTAATCATTCAAATTTTAACTATTTGTATGAAAAAAAAAGAATATTTGAAATTTTGAATTGCTTACTAATTGTGTTTAACAATTGATAGAGGGAATATCCGGACCAATCAAGTCTTCCTTGCAACTGAGTCCTATTCCACAGGATCCAAAGAAAAACAGTTCTTTTATCATACACTCTGAAAGGATAGTTCAAGAATGGCCCGAGTACAATATATCACTTCCTGTACCCAGTGAATTACACCTGAAAAACCTGACAACAGTGACTGTCAGTATAGATTATCCTTCTGAGAGTGTCACAGATTCCTATCTTAAACTGTATATGCCATCAAATTGTGAGGATTGTGAAGATTTCGAAGGTAAGAAAAATTTCATTATGGTGAACTGAGATACTAGTATTGCTTAAACTTGATTATTTTTCTATTCTTGATAAATAAGACCTGAGAAATATGTGAATTGGTAAGAATAATGAATTCAATAATGGTTTGAAAATGATAAGGATTACGGTTTAGAAATTTGTTGTAAGTTGCAATTTTGTTCCACAACAAATCATCAGCGTTGTTTTTTTTTCTTTACACAGCCAAAATGTCGGTTGTGAGTTTTAAGATGATGTCGTCATCCAGCCTACGTGGAAAGGACACCTATCTCAGCGAGACAAGGACACTTGAAAATAATGCAGCCATGTTTCTGTTTGAAGACGACAAGACAGACCGTGTTTCTGATTCTATACAATTTACTGCTATTTCAGAATTGTTGGATTACAGAGGTAAAATATTTATTAATTATTGTAATTGAAATTAAACATTTTAGTAGGCCCTGCTACAAAGTGAGATTATACAATGCTTTCATCCTAAAAAAAACCTTTATCCTCAGGATTTCAGAATGGAGACATTCTTGAGGAAGCAATTGGGTACAAATTCAAGGATGAATTCATCTGGATAGGAAAAACAACCATAGGTGTAACAGATGATCAGGAAAATAACACCCCTGATTTAGAGATAGCTATGACAGAGTTTTCTACTTTTGAGAAACTAGGAGAGTAAGTATTCATTCTTTAATTAGATTTATCTACTTAAACTGCAATTTATGGTGAAATATCCCCCAAATCAAAATCATCTAAACATGGTCCCCATAGTTTAACATTTATTTTGGCCTTAAATTACGTCCAAAAATGAATATGCCCAACAATGACAATGTTTGTCCTTAAGCTTTGAGTTAGAATTCTTGTAGCTCACATTTTGGTGTGGTATACGGTTTTTGCAATGTTCAGTGATTTTGTTGATACTGATTATGAAAAACTGAACAGATTTTGATAACACTATATCCAACTCCTTGTTGATAATCAAAAAGCTTCGGTTATTGCCTTTTTGAAGCAAAGAAATCATCAGAATTCATTTTCTGAGTAATGAAACGTGTCCTTATCCTCTGTTTCGCTATTCAAACAAGGACTCGGGTTAGCAGGAAATACCAAAGACTTTCAAAGAAGCAACAATGGGACTTCAGAATTAGGGAAAAAACTCTTAACAAAAGTCTCGTTGAAGCAGGTCTCAAAGCACACGAGACGTCTTTTACAACCAAATTTAACACGAAATTACGTTAGAGTATGCCAGGATTTCTATGTGAACAACAAAGGATACACACATCATTTTGTCCAAAATCAATCAGCCTTAAGTTGTATTCCTTTTATTGTAGTGTTACTCAGAAATTGCGGACGAACTTGGATCACAGTTTGAATTCCACAGGAAGTGCTTATGATGTCATGGTGATTTTTTACTTTCCACCAGAACTACAGTACGTTAGGTACTCACATTATCTTCAAAACATTGTAAGAAAACCCGAGACCACCATCGACGTAGAGGGAAAGACAGTTAAATTTAATGTACGTAAGAAATCTTATTTTAATATTTATCAGTTACTCACCAGTACTTTACTAAACAGAAATTTTCAACCATGGTTTAATGTGGCATGCCAGTATTTTCATCCAATTTTACCAATTCATGTGTCTTCTATATTTTCTCTCAGTCGTTTCTTGCATTCATAGTCCTGTCACTTTTTATCTCAATAGATTCCACGGATGTCCTTTGCACACTCCAGCAAAATCTATTTTAATATCTCCTACAATGTAAACACCTCGGCGTTAGAGGGACAGCGGTTCTTCAGTATCGTTTATGAAGTGGTGTTCAAAGGATGGAATGACACGGACGACAAAAGTACAGCTTTACACGCTCTGACATTTGTTCAGGGTGAACCGAAGAAAGGTATTGAAAGTATTCAAAACGTTTTCAAATTTATTTCAATGTTTTCACCACTAACTGTTTAATGAAGATGTTTTTCTTACAAAGATGAAGCATTACTCTGTCAATGTCCATGGAATTCCAAACAGAAGTGTGTTTGTTGCAAGCCTGGCCAATGTCTTTGTCCAAAAACTAAAGACCCAAAAGTTTGTGGACCATGTAAAAATCCATGCGTCTGTACCAACGAAATTCAGTGTATGTATTTCAATATACAGATTTATATCATAATTCAAACACGATTGCTTCATTCGTAGAATTCATATGCATTGGTTTTCAATCTCTTCTTTAGGGATCAAGAACATTACGAAGCTTTCATACGAAGATGCGACAATTGTCTGTAATGATCTGCCAACACAGGGGAGGTATATGCTTGCTATATTTTATTTTTAGAAAATTTAAGGCCGGCATAAAGTTTTTTAATTCAAGGTGGCAGGGAATTATTGTGAGAAAGATATGTGTTTCCGAAAATCTTTTCAAAAATAAATTCTCCAAGAATTATATATGCTAAATAAAACTGGGGAGACGGTAAAAGCAGAGTCAAAGATAATAAGAAAAGGTAAATTTTTAGCTCACCTCAACAAAGTTGGGGGGAGCTTATGTGATACCCTCGGCGTCGGTGTCGGCGTCGGCGTCGGCGTCCCAGGTTAAGGTTAAGTTTTTTGGAGCAGTTTTCTTTTTAATTACTTCTGTGTCCTATACTGATTAGACATGCATGGAAGATGGTTTTAGTGTGTTTTATTGTACCAGACAAAGTTTCAGATGCTGCAATTTCAGCAAAGGAATGACCAGGTTAATGTTTTTGGAGCAGGTTAACATTTTTGGTGCAGTTTTTGGTGTGGGTTTCATTTCAAAGTAACTATAAGCCCTATGTTGACCAAACTTGCATGGATGATACATCTAAGGATGCATACTACCGGGCTTGCTTCGGATGCTGAATCTGACCTACATTTTCCGGTTGAGCGAACAGGTTAAAGTTTTTGGTGTAGGTCTCATTTCCAAGGAACTATAAGACCTATGTTGACCAAAGTTGCATGGATGATACATTTAAGAATGCACACTACCGGGCTTGCCTCGGATGCTGAATCTGACCTACATTTTCCGGTTGAGTGAACAGGTTAATGTTTTTGGTGCAGGTTTCATTTCCAAGTAACTATAAGCCCTATGTTGACCAAACTTGCATGGATGATACATCTAAGGATGCATACTACCGGGCTTGCTTCGGATGCTGAATCTGACCTACATTTTCCGGTTGAGTGAACAGGTTAAAGTTTTTGGTGTAGGTTTCATTTCCAAGTAACTATAAGACCTATGTTGACCAAACTTGCATGGATGATACATCTAAGGATGCATACTACCGGGCTTGCTTCGGATGCTGAATCTGACCTACATTTTCCGGTTGAGTGAACAGGTTAATGTTTTTGGTGTAGGTTTCATTTCCAAGTAACTATAAGACCTATGTTGACCAAACTTGCATGGATGATACATCTAAGGATGCATACTACCGGGCTTGCTTCGGATGCTGAATCTGACCTACATTTTCCGGTTGAGTGAACAGGTTAAAGTTTTTGGTGCAGGTTTCATTTCCAAGTAACTATAAGCCCTATATTGACCAAACTTGCATGGATGATACATCTAAGGATGCATACTACCAGGCTTGCTTCGGATGCTGAATCTGACCTACATTTTCCGGTTGAGTGAACAGGTTAAAGTTTTTGGTGCAGTGTTTCATTTCCAAGTAACTATAAGCCCTATGTTGACCAAACTGCATGGATGATACATCTAAGGATGCATACTACCGGGCTTGCTTCGGATGCTGAATCTGACCTACATTTTCCAGTTGAGTGAACAGGTTAAAGTTTTTGGTGCAGGTTTCATTTCAAAGTAACTATAAGCCCTATGTTGACCAAACTTGCATGGATGATACATCTAAGGATGCATACTACCGGGCTTGCTTCGATTTAATTTTAAGATGCTGAATCTGACCTACATTTTCCAGTTGAGCGAACAGGTTAATGTTTTTGGTGCAGGTTTCATTTGCAAGTAACTTTAAGCCCTATGTTGACCAAACTTGCATGGATGATACATCTAAGGATGCACACTACCAGGCTTGCTTCTGATGCTGAATCTGACCTACATTTTCCGGTTGAGTGAATAGTTAAATGTTTTTGGTGCAGGTTTCATTTCCAAGGAACTATGAGTTCTTTAATGACCAATCTTGCATAGAGGATACATCTAAGGATGCATACTTCCAGGCTTGCTTCGGATGCTGAATCTGACCTACTTTTTGTGTATGAGTGAAAATGTTAGTTTTGATGCATGTTTCATTTCCAATAAACTATGAGCCCTATAATGAGCAAACTTGCATGGATGATACATCTAAGGATGCACATTAATGGACTTGCTTCGGATGCTGAATTGGACATACATTTTTCAGATAATAGACAACGTAAAAGTTATGGTTGCAGGTCTATTACCAAAAACTGTAAGGCTTATATAACATTGTGTAAACCAAACTTGCACAAATGCTGCATCAAGAGATGAAGACTCTCAAATTTGCTTCAGATGCTGGATTTTCATTACATTTTCATGAAGAAGAAGTAGTTTAAATTTTTTATGTAGGTCTATTTCAAAGTATCAGATCAAAATTGCTTTTAAAAATGTTTTCATTTTTGGAATGTATACTTTTTGTTGGTTAATTGTGTGACTTTGCCTTACTTAAAGACAACATTCGTTGAGGTGAGCTCTGTAATCTCTGATTACCTATGTTTAGGTATTCAAAAGAGCGATCAATTGGATGTAGCAAAACGATTCAGAGAAAGGAACCTCAAGGTGCGTAATATGACATTTCGCTTATAAATTTATAGTCTGTACATAAATAGTTTTGTCTACACCTATTGAAATCATTCTAGCATTTTTCATCTTAACAATCTATACTTATTTTATAATATTACATGCTTGTTTCTTTCTGTACTTTCTAGTTTTATCTCCCTTGGTATCGGCAGTGTTAGGTATTGATAAGGAGACCGGGTTCCTTTATGGGATCAGTAACAATGGTAAGGGTTATGTTTTGAGTGAGGACGAAGGGACGACATGGATGTCAATACCACCAAATGTTTTCAACGCTTCCAAGTTGAACTCGGCGGATTTGAAGTAGAAATGCCATTGAATGGTAAATTTATAACACTGTCAATTGTGGAAAAGCTTAATTCTATGTCACATCTTTACCTTTAAGATGTACTTGTGTTCTTAAAATAAACTTTCTAGATGAAAAAGTAAACGGTTTCTTCATTTTTTAATTTTGACCCTTTAATCTTCTGATTATAGTTTTCAAAGTAACTTATGTTTAAGATAAGTTAAATATTCCAAACTGAACTATGTATAATTTTTTTCTGCCTATGCATTAAATTATGCAAAAGTAACGAAAATATCTCACTTATTAAATGCACAATTTGTTAACAACTTTCAAAACTTATGCGATTTTACATCTTAAGGACAGATGATACAAACAAATTTTTTCTTTGAAAAAGATTTAATATCATGTCACAAGTTTAGAAAAGTGGATGGTTCTTAGATTTTGTTCTCTTAAGAACTGGAATATGAAAAATACTTGGAAAATATTAGTAATATTTCAATGAAAAATCAAATATATACAAATCACATTCAGTAAAGGTTTACAGGTGAAAATAAATTTCGGAATATCTGTAAAAAGTGAAAAATAAACTAGAAAATATACCAAGCCAGGTGAATCTTATTAGGAAAAGCGAAATGGTAAATATCAGCCTATGCAATATTGCTTATTTTTGGTCATTTTGATCTTCCTCTTAAAATTCATCTGGCTTGGTATATTTTTCTAAAGTTTATATTACACTTTTAGTGCCAAAATAACATATTCTGAAATAAGTTTTCACTTGTAAACCTTTATTGAATGTGATTTGTCTATATTTTTTTTCATTGAAATATTACTTATATTTTCCAAGTCTATTTCATTTTCCAGTTCTTCGGAAAATGAATTCTAAGAACCATCCACTTTTTTAAACTTGTGACATGATATTAAAACTTTTTCAAAGAAAAAAGTTGTTTGTGTTATCTGTCCTTAAGCACATATGTTCATTCATGCTTATAAGATGAATCTATTCCAAAATCAGTCAAAGGATAAGCATAACATTATATATACATTTAAATATTAAAAAAACAAAAAAATACATTGATCAAATATATACCTAATATTTCAAACATAATAACCAATTATAGAATATATTGACAATAACAAATGTACAATAAACAAACCAATATTTTTTTGCATCGAAAACAAGAATTACTAGTATAAACAATGGCACAACAAAGCAAAGCATCCTTCCAGAAATTTTCAATCCCGATATATTTCCCTCCACTTTGCATTAACTCACTCATTCTCTTACACTCTCATAAGTGCATTACAATTACTCGTCCAAATTTATTTTTGAGAGAGTAAAGAAAAGAGTATAATCAAAGGTATGTGTCTAGATGATCTAATCTGTGATAGAATAATCAATATAATGAGGATTCACTGAAATAAACATATTTCTACAAAAAAAAACACCCATATTTATAATGTAAATAAAACTTATATTGTACAAAATAATTCATTCGAAGCTCACTGATACATCTTTTTGTAAATCTATATAAAAGTTTCACACAGAAAACTGTATTTTTATATCAATCTCCACATCAAATTAATAGATCAAATCTTTGAAAGACGTTTCGTCTCCTGTTTCTTCTCTTTCGGTCTTCAGTATATTTCTTATGTCTGGAAGTCTGAAAAAAAAGGTAACTGATCAAAATTAAGTAAAGTAAAGAGGCACATGTATACCATATGTAAAATTAAGTGAAATAAATGTTAACATGATTTAAAAAAAAATAAATTACCATTGTTGGTTGAACTTACACTGCATATTTCTTTAGTTTTTCCTTTTCCTCTGGGTTCAAAAAGTCATCATTAATTTTGCCTTCCATGACATCTTTTGCTAAGCGTTTCATAAGGAAATCTGAAGTTTTCTTTAATCTTTCACCCAAAGGATTCATGTCCCTCTGGGCGGACGGGGGTCGTTTACGTGGTGGCATTTGATACTTTTTGTTGGACATGTCCAGCGGATTATAACAAATGTTATCGTGCATCGAGAGAAATAGTGGGATATAACACATATAATCCAGAAATGAAATCTGGAAAATAAAGGACATGTAATGTGGTTAAAAGAGTTACAGCAAATGCAAAAGAGCAAAAAATGGAACATTGTACATCTACATGTATTTGATATTTAAAATTTTATTCTAACCTCGCCATATCTCGATGGTTCCAACTTTTTCATGACAAATTCTTGCTGTTTCCAGTTGAGACCACCAGCAATAAGTTCTATTTTAAGAGAATCGGAAGTGACGTAGTTTGTGTCCCGATAAGAGGGAATATTGTGATAAAACATGGCTTTATATAATTCCAACTTCCGTTCAACATCAGCCAGGTTGCAGATGTCTAGCAGATGCTTGCTTAATTCACTGAAATAAAAAAAAAACGATGAGAAAATTTTGTTCTTGTATATCAACATTATATTTTTATTTAAGCTAGAATTTCATGCGCTGAAAAATATTAAGCTAATGAAAATTCTGTATTAAAGAATGCTTTTATTTCTCGTATTTCACAAATAGTTATATCTTAATTTTTTTTTACAATACATATATGAAAAAAGTTGAACAACGTTAAACATACAAAAAACTTTTATTTTCAAACATACAAAAAAAATCACTTTAAAAATTCATGTAGTTGGGTAGACAACACATTGATAATAATTTCAATGGATGTTATAATGTCATTGCAAACTTTTCAAGACCACTAAAGTGCAAAAGGTATTTATCTTACTCCATATTAGTGACTCGTTCGCAAAGAGCAGTGATAACAGCAAACATCTTAAAGGTCACTTGAGATGCCTCATCGATGTGAAGAACCTGTAAATATTGACAAAAATTGTATAAAACAAAATCAATGCTAAACATGTCTGATAATTTAATTGCTTGTATTTTAATAATCTGTTCAAAAAGTTATATACCTTAAAAACATAATCGAGTTGTTTTTCTGTCATATGCTGCAACATTTCAATTCCATCTAGAGCCATCTTTGCATCCTAAGAAGAAATAAAATTGTACATGCATTTGTCAGAAACCAATAGTCCAAGTACGTAGTGGTAAAATTAGCAAAATCCGAAAGTAACTGAAGGGTATATTGACTCTCTCTGTTTCATAAAAAAAACTAGATCTTTCAGGCTTAGTTGTTGAGATTATTTTTTCCGAGAACTTTCCAAATGTCGTCTAGGAAAGGATAAATTTGAAATCATCTGATACAAAATGTGTTTGGTGCCTTCTAAGTGGGACAATTAAACCTAATCTTATAAGTTATAATCAATTAATAGAAATACCGTCAGTTGAAAAGTTTGAATTGTACTGAAAATGTAGTACACACAAAAGGGAAACCGAGGAGTAAACCATATTCCAAAGTTCCCAATTTTAGCTCTTGGAGAAATACTAGACTTTACTTTTAAAACTGAGAATGAACATACTGAAGAGTTTAAAACTGTATCATAGTCTGTGTCCTCCACAACAAAGGCTTTAGCGTAGTTGTCCAGATTCATAGGATCAACCAGACGATAGTGGTTTAGGAAGTCAATCGAAGAATCTACAAAAGAAATACAATAGTCAAATCAAAGTCATCAATAATCATTATCAGTGTGATTCAGTCTTAATGGCACAAAGATGTTATACTTACCTCTCTCATCTAAATCTAAAGCTTTGTCTTCTCTGAGCGTGCATGCTTTCAGAATTCTCTCGAAATGCTGTCGAAGAGCTGATCCTCCACGTTTAAACAAAATGTTGACACGCCTTTTCCCAGAGACTGGACAAAAGGTTTGGAAAGAAAGTATACTTGAATCTTCAGTCATGACACTCCCTAATGCTTTAGTAGTTTTTTGAGTAATGCATGAATATTTGTTTTAATTTTATATTCATCTGAAGAAATTTTATATTATACTAAATCCATATGAAAAAAATTAATAAAACTTGTTCTGTTTGCAAGATATATGCGTATTATGTTATTTTCTTTATATTGTCAGTGTATTATGAAAATGCAGTGGTACACACTAGTTGATAAATCAAGGTCCTCCATATCCGCCAGCTGATCGTCTGTCATGTCTGGATCAAAATCTTTTACGTCTTTTGTCCCAATCACTTCACCACCGTCAGTCACTTGAATGTCATCTCCAAACAGTTCCTAAAAACCATGGATCGAATTGAACATGGAATCTTCATGAAGAACTATTGTTAACGCTTTTAAATTTCGTTATGAACAAGGAAATCTCAAAATGATACCTTCAACTTTTTGGCAATCTCTTTTTTCGATAAATTTGGATCGATGCCAAGTTTTCGCAACGTGTCTGCATCTAACTCATTTACGTCAATCTTTTTCTTCTTAGGACGTAATTTACCGTCTGCCCCTCTTTCCATAACTGGCGACTTTGCTCGTTCTTTAATAAATATAAATGAAAAATGGTGTTTTGATAATAATATGAATGCATTTCTATAAAAAATAATCGTTCAACTGTTTATAATTAGAGATTATAAACATATTGTTTTTTTCTTCTGACTTTATTATTTTGCTTCTGAGGTTACAAAACATTGAAACCAAACTCCAACAAATTGTAGGAAAGCATACATTTTTCTAAGCGGTTAAATTTCTTTTAATCTGATGATACAGGGCATTTTAATCATTTACATTTGTATATAAGTTTTCAAACCTTTTTCTTCCTCTTTATCCTTTTTGTCAGCGGCATTTTCAGAGGCATCGTCAACAAATGTACTTTCTCCTCCTGTAGGAATATTTAGAAGCCATTTCAACACCCCTATGGATTCTAATCCTTGATATATATCTAGTGGCATATTTTGACATTGAATTTATACTAAATTAGATACTTTATATTCTCTTATTTGAAAAGACAATAAATACCTAAAGTTGAACCTTCGTTCGTTCCTCCGTCACCCTTAAAGAAAAATATCATGTTTATTCAAAGCTGATTAATATTCTTTTTAAAGGGTTTGTTATTTTAATCTATAAAAAATTCAATTTGAATTAACATAATTATGTAATCCTTGTGAGAAGATCCTTCATGGGATACCAAGAACGTATAAGTATACTAAGTAAATTAGTGTATACATACAATGTTTATTGGGTTTTTTTCTTTTTAATTTTTTTGCTGCTTACCCTTTTCCCCTTTCTGTCTGTAAAACAAATATTTTTTATTATTAAATCGGCGTTTAAAAATATCAAAATATCATATGTACGAGTAAAAAAAAAAAACGAATTGAAGAATTTTTTTTCTCTAAAATATAATACTGATAGATACAGAAATAAAATCCAGAGGATCTCGATGCTGTGATCCCTTATACTTTCCAATGACGTGATATTTGTATCAAGGAATTTACCTGTTGAGTACAACTTGCCCTGTGGAATGGATGGAAGTTTATTTAGCATGGTTTGTTCACGTAGGACCCTACGAGGACCGTCCCCTTGGCTGGACTCGCCACTGCCTACAATAAAACACATCAAGATAAAGGGTGAGTATTATAAAATACACCAAGTTTAGTCCATCAGAAATGAAGTAAATATAGGACCAGTACCTCTTCTGCTTTTATCTTGTTTACTATTCGCCCACCTAAGGAAGAGAATACAAATAAAAGTGACAACCTCAGAGAAACATTTGAATAGATAAACGTCAATGATTAAAAATCAGCTAATGAGCATATAAAAAGTTCTTACGACTCATGACTCAATCCTATTTCTCTGTTGTCTATCTTTTGATTATGACCTAAATCACGAGGTGGACCTTTCTCATATGTAACCATGCTTTTTGGGCGTTCTTTGGGTTTATCTTTATCAAGAACGGTGCTGGCCCGTCTCATTGAGGACCGCCTGCTTCCCACACCGAGTTTGTCCGTACCTTCCCGCTCCTCCGCCTCTTTCTCCTTTCGAAGTTGTTCTAAACGTTTCCTAATATATTTTAAAGTAAAATTACGCATTGATTCGCAGGGTAATTGTCAATTCAATGAATATAAAAAATGATAAATTCTGTTTAATAAAATTCGAGAAAATTAATTAGATTGTTTGTCATCGTTTATTTAGACCTGATCTCAGAAAATAATATCCTAACTCTTTTGACTTACTGTTCTCTTTTCTTCATGATTTCATCATATTTGTCCCCATACTTTTCCCGTCGTCTTTTTTCGCGCGCTGCTCGCCGCTTTTCCTTTTCTCTGAAATAAGCTTCTTTTTCCTCTTCTGTCATTTTTGACAAATCCACATTATCGTCGGTTGTAGCATCGCTAAAATCGTCTTGCGTCATGTGAGAAGCAATCCTTTCCAGTCCCTCACCTGCAAGAAAAATGACTCAAGTGTCAAGCGTTTCCTCAAAGCCAAAACACAAGATGACGATTAAATTTGGAGTTATGAGAGGGTTTATTACAAAATAATGAGACTGCATTGAGGGTAAACTGCTCCAATTGATTACTTTTTCTTGTCTAATTGTGGTCATAATTAGGAAAATATTGCAAATTGATTCTTTAGAAAACTGGGATATCAACAGAACGAACAGAACGGCAAAAGTTCTCTGTTACAGAATAGTTAGATTACACAAAGTACTTATTTAAACAAAATGTCAGGTATATTTTTGAAGTTAAAATTTATCAATCAATGAAGAATCAAAATACATATATCAGTGTTAAATATGTCTAAAATAAAGCATAACCATCAGTTGGTTTTTGCTTGGAGATCTTAGTCTGGAGTATAATTATAAATACACTGTTAACGTGTCTGTTGCATTCATTACCCGGCCATTTTGATTTCTTGATGAGGTCATCTAACCCTGCTGTTGATATATCGCCTATAGACCCGATTCCTCGCCGTTGTAGAGTAATATTTTCATCATTTAGAACATCTTTTACGTGAGCTGGGGGTTCGTTACTGTAATTAAATTTAAACAAATTGATGAAAATAATAGTTATAAGGGAAATATAAAAGCATTTGTAATTTTTTAATTTTACAAAAGTTGATCGTTTAAAAAAATGCGTTAGAAAATATATCTCAGAACATGTACTTATCAATGTCTTTATATAATGCATCTACATAACCCTTTTTCATTTACGTACCCTCCTTCAATTGAACCTGAAACAGAAATATTAATATTAGAGTACATAGTAGAGCAATTTTATGTAAGGAATTTACTTCTCCTAATTGAGTAAAGATATACCTCTTCGCGTGCGCACAGAATCCGCATCACTCGTGGCTTCTCCGAGAACAACCTTGTCTCCGTGTCCTATCACTTTTCCTTCGGCGTCTCTTATACGTTTTCTTCTGACTTCATACCTAGTACCACCTTCGCTGACTTCACTTGCGTAACTATAATCACTATCTGACTCTTCTGTTGTTTTAGTTGTTTTGGTGACCTCTCGATTCATGCTTCCTCGATCTGTGTCTCCGCTGTGGTACGATTCACTATCACCATATGTACCATCCGCGTTGCGCTTGCGTCTGCGCACATGTCGTGTACCTCCAGCGCTGACAACGCTATAATAGCTGTGGTCACTATCAGATCCGTGTTCTCGGTCACGTCTACGCTTTCGACGTCTAGCTTCTCCGTCCTCGTCTTGGCTACTGTGATATGATTCGCTGTCACCGTAAGTGCCGTCTGCATTCTTTTTGCGCCTGCGCACATGACGTGTTCCGCCAGCACTAACAACACTTCTGTAGCTGTAATCGCTGTCGCTATCATTGTTTCGTTTCCCCTTCTTGAACGCCGCCTTCTCCTTACCGGTAAGTTCTTTCCCTTTCTTACCCCCACCTTTACCACCTGCCCCTCTTTTTCCTCCTTTTCCTCCATCAGATCCCGCTATACTTCCCCGTTTCCTTTAGTTGAATATAGAAAAATATACTTTTCATAGATGTGCAATAATTTTTCTTGGAATTAACATTACTAAACATATTTGAAGATCCTTCTAGAACAAAGGATAATATCTGAATTAAATATGAGATTTTTTTTTATCTTAAAGACAAGAAGGCTTCAGTGCACACATGTAGGTAAGTACAATTTTGTTTTTGTTTTTTGAAATATTTTAGAAAATAATGCTGTCTATTCACATTTGGTCGATAATTATCAATTCCTTTAGATTGCATACTTTCCCACATTTAAAAATATTACATTATTGAATGCAAATGTGTAAAAATATCTTTGTAAAACTAAATAGGTTCAAATTTGGAAGTACATAAATATAATGTAAATGTTTATAACAGTTTGATAAATTAAAGTCAACAAATTAATTTGGTTGCATATAATAGCAAAACAAATACGAAAATAAAATAAATCTTAAAATATCGATATCTATATCTTGGTCTATATTTATTGACTTGTTTTGATTTTAAATGGGCAATTATTAACTCTCAAAAGAATAAAGAAATTGTTGACTTTCAATTTCTCCCCTTTTTCCATCACGCTTAGAAATCTGTTTATTTGTATTACTTTAAAGGGCATCATTGAGAAACCTCGAATGAAAAATGAATCTTTATGCCGCTATATTTATTATTAATATAAATACCGGTAGAATAAATTATTTCCATGACATTTTTCATAAGTTTATATCATCTTAATTTTGGTATTGTGTTGAGAGTTAACAAAATATATTATTTCTTTGAATTTTTTATTTCCATAAAAACATAAAAAATAAAAACATTTTTTAGAATTTTGAGAGAAACTCTAAAAACCAAACAAAAATCATTTCGAAAAAAAGTACATCTAATTCATTATTCATTGATTATAGAAGAAATTAATGAAATAATTTCGCTTTATAATGCAATGGATCTATTACTGGGTATCAACCTGGATAGATCAGTTAGTAAAGCACCAGACTTTTGGTGCAGGGGTCCTGGATTCGACTCCTTGATCAGTCAAACATATTTTCCTTTTCTGTTTTAGGTCTTTTTGCCGTTGACCACCCCTAGACTTGCAAATGAGCGCCCTTCTAGGGCTAATATGAACTGGGATTGAGTCTTTGAGGGTGGGGGCATATTTTAAAAGAAGGGAGAAATGCAATTGTTTGAGTCAAGGATATTGAAATTGTTCAAACTGAGACTGAATCTGGTTGAAATTTATTGATTTATAAGCTTAAAGGTAAGTAAGCTTAGTAGCCGTTATTAACAACAATAATGTAATGTAATGCGCCTGCAATGAATTACGCCGATAGAATCTGTAAAAGAAGTACTTGTCTTCCTAAAAAGTGTTGATCATATGTGTAAAGTTACATCTTTAAAAACAATAAAGTATCAGAGCTTAAAACTCAAGATAAAACTATTTTAGTATATGTATTTTGTTCTTATGATAAACAGAAAAATATGAAGAAACAAAATGATGTTAGGTTTGATTTCAGAGACCTTTTTTAATTATTCAAAAAATATACATATTTCGTGAACTCTAATTGACTGCATATCTCTTAAAATCGACTTTACTTTTGCGCTAGACTATGTACTATGAAGTCATTAATTGCGTCATTATCCTCAAACCCTAAAATGACCAATTACTTATTTTTTCTCAATATTTCGCATGGACTAACCTCTGATCCGAAATGTTCAATAATATAATGAAAGAACTATTTTTGGAGATTACAATCCATGTTTTATTTTCTTTACAGAGGGGTGGGCTTATGCTTCATTTTTTGCTTAATTTACTCAACCCATTTTTTCCAAAAGTCAAAAACATCGCAAATAATTGCACTCTCTCTCTCTCTTTTTAAAAATTATATTGGTTTTTAAATTGGAACATGAAGAATTGATCAGTTAATTGGAATATAGATAGGTCATTTTATGGATAAAATAAACCTAGCTCTTTGATAATGTATGTTAATTTAATTTTGGTTGTAACGCGTCATTTGATTGGATAAATAATAAAATACATCGTATAAGCTCAGTTGCCTACCTCACAATGCCATAAGTCAAAAACGTATCAATCCGCTTGACGTTACATACTAAAAATGCTTACAATTTAAAGGCATTTTCGAAGGAAAAATTTTCTTATTTTTTACACCTAATGATGGGTTATGGAATAAATTTCATAGGTACCCGTGTTATACTGTATAATCTGGCTTGGAACATTTTACGCTTTTCTATAAACCGCTTCGCTGTTTATAAAGCGAAAATAGCACCAATCCAGGTCATACCAGTATAGCTTGGGTATTTTAAATTCATTCCTTAATTGATAAAACATAAATTAAAAAAGATTCTATCTGCATTTATTGCAAGTGTGTTTCAGTACAATCGCTATAGAGAACATTTTCAATAACTTTAGTTTAATTTCATTTTTTGAGTCATATTTGTGCTAATATTAATAAATGGCTAATAATTCTTTTTTCTTCCATTGAATTCATAGGTGCACATGTAAGAGTGAACAACAAACTCTAGAATAGTTTGTGATTTTCAAAGATTCTTAAGCTTAACAAATGAAGAGGGTGTCAACAGATTGGATTATTGGGAAACAGATTTACATGTAAGCAATGACACTTCTAAGAACAACTTACTTTTTGAGCACTTTGGATTCTCTTCGTTCTTTGGCACCTTTTCCTGCTAAACAGTAATACAATAAATTTGGTACCTTTCTAACAATTGGTTGCAAAAAAACTCATTAGTCTGGACAAAATAAGGAACTCAGATGTTATTTTAAAAATCTTTTAATAGCATAAACATGCAAAAACAACATACATACATGTACATACAGAGCTTCTAAATCATTTATTTTTTATCAAACTGTTACAAAATTAAAAATAAAACATTCAGCCTTCTTCGGTTATATTTTGATTAATATTTGGCACCAATTGGAATATTTTTTTTTCTACATTTCTAAGTTATAATACACACAATCTTTTTTTAAATTAATCTCTAAATGTTCCTAAATTTTCTTATCTTTAAAAATGTATTCATGAGATTCAAATATACATATTTATTTTTAATAGTACTGAATCAAAATAAAAATGAAACAGAAGCTAAGGGTTGGTTAGCAGGCAATGTAAACTGTATCAAATGACAGCCTAGGAATGGAATGCATTTATTAGTCCTAACCTTTCGCTTGGCGAAATTTACATTCTGGTTGAGTTGTCAAGAAATCAACTCATCTAACTTTTAAAGAGATATCACAGAGAAAACAAATAAAGATGGAAATATATAACAAAATATTCGAAGGACAATGTTTAAATTTGTGTAACGCCTCCTAGTTGTTTTCCTTCCAAAAATGCTTAGAAATCAATGAAACACTACATACCCTACAAACAAGATACATAATTAATCAGAGCATATTTACCCATATGAAATTTACATTTAATAATTTAGTTCCTTATTCAAACCTCATACATTCATATAAAAAATGAAACTGAATTTTTGGTTGAAAGAAAGTGAAATATTTCATACTTAGGGATTAACTTAGAAAATGTTATAAAATTTAACAATGATTTGACAAATGTTAATTTGCTGATTTGTATACATAGTCAACTGAAAGACTGTCTCGTGTATAAATAAATGAACAATTGAAGATCATGTCAGATATGTGTCTGATGGGATGGGGCTGATCTTCTTCAGTAGACCAGTGCTGGCTGCGGCGTCTCTTGAGGTTTAACAACAGCTTTCTCTTCAAAGATGTTGGGTAAACTAAGTAAGAAAATGGTAAGAGTTAAATAATAAGCAAAGGAGCCTTAAATTTTTAAAATCTTATTTCTTTGAACCATTTATATATTAAACTAATAGTATTTCAAGTATATCATGGCTTAATTAAAAATTCCTTTCATTTCCAAACTACTTATTCACACTTCACTTCAGCTACTTACTGTGTTTGTTTGTTTGGCGATATGCTTGAATTATCTCTATAAATGAAAGTCATAGATTTTGTAATATATTGCTTCGTTCGGCAATGTGTTAAAAGTCTCTGATGGAATTAAGAACTTGAATTATTCTTATATAAGTTTTACTTCAAAAAGTTAAAAGATTAAGAAGAATATATATCTTTTATTAGGGCTATAAAATCAATAAAATTGCTTTTCTATTAATCTCAAAATGTTTAAATTAAATTAAGTATTAAATGTTATATTGTGTTTTCATGCTTTGCAAATAAGCCAGTATAATTAATTTTATTTCTTTGACTTGCATGCAAAAAGAACTTTCTAATTTGTAGAGATAAGACACGCTGAAATGAAGTATGAAAATTTAAGGTTAAGTCTCTTATTTACAAACAAAACTAATGAAATGTATTCTAGAAGAATGCGCAGTTTTTCATTAAGGAAGAAGAAATAATTTTGTTCCTATATATGTTAGTGAATTTTAAGAAAACAAACTTCTTATTATTAGTAAGATCTAACACAAAAAAACTACTCAGACATAAAGCTTTCCTTAATAGTTTACCAAGATTGATTTCTTACAGCATTTCTTAAAATGAAAGAGTCTACAGCAAGTGCTTAAAAAATACCTTTTACATCTTACAGGGCCGTGATTCAAACAAAACGAAATGTAGTAGTCTTTAAAAAAATTGTATAGTTTAAGAAAATAATTCTGATATTCACATTTTGAAATATATTTTGTCTAAATGAATAAGTAAATAAATAAAAATCATAAAAGAAAATTTACGTTTCTAAGGAATATCATAGCAAGTTTGATTCGTGCGACGAAAAATTCCATTTTTAACCAAGAAAAAATTCAAATAGCTTGTAAGTAGAAAACTTTACATTATAAAGCTTTGGTGTTTTATGGGTTTCGTGAAATTGATCACTGTTTATAAATTAAGGATGAAAAATCTAAACTTGAAATTTCCTGTTCCTCAATCTTTGGTTGGTTATTCAAAGTCACAAAAGCGGGTTACTTCATGCCGCTTAATGTACATACGTTGCATACTTATTCAAAAGTTCCACTTTCTCCTTAGTTAACTGATCTTTGTTTATCCGCCCCTCGATGAGATCTTGTGCTTGTTTCTTTAATTGAAAGGTTGACGTCTTTTTCAGAGGTTGATCGGGTGGATTCATATCCCTCTGACGGTAAGAGCCAGAGGGTTTCCGAAGCTTTTTGTCAAATTTTGTGTCAGACATATCAAGTGGATTCTCACATATATTGTCATGCATGGACAAGAACAATGGCACATAGACTAAGTAATCCAAAAATGACACCTGAAACGTCAAAAAGGAATAAATTTTACCAACAGTTGTCTGTATATTTCCTCAATATACTAGTAAGAAATATACCAGTAGTAGAACTTGCCTATATTTCTTATAGGATTGATCATTAGTCAAAATATTTACAATTTCACAGAAATTCATTTATTTGGCGGTACAATTATATTTAAAAATGTGCAATGACAGTTTGAATTTCATTTTTAATTATTATTTGGAAAATACCTTTTGCTGAACTTTGATGTGACTATACAAAACATGTTTAAAGGGAACATATACATTGACATTGTTGATCTATCGAGATATATCCTCCTACAGTTTTCAGAAGAAAACCAGATTTGCTGTTTCATTGACAGCTTGTTTTTGGGTATAATTGTGTCTTTCCTGTGAAATAACTTACAAAAGCAATAGTTTCTCAAAGAAAACGCAATCATTATACCTCCATGAATATATTTGGTTGTAACCGCTCCATAATGAACTCTTGTTGTTTCCAGTTTAAGCCACCAGCTATGAGTTCTATGCGTAGAGAGTCTGCCTTTATGAAGTTGGTATCCCTGTCAGATTCAATGTTGCAGTAGTACATAGATTTATAAAGCTCCATTTTCCTTTGAATGTCGATGAGATCACATATCTCTAGTAAGTGTTTACTAAGCGGGCTGCAACAAAAATTAATATTGACGTAGTTATTCGTATTCGTATCTTATTTTCTCAAATATTGTGTTTTATTGTAATATACAATTGCTTTAAGATTTCTTCTGTTTCAAAGATAAGAAAATACGTACTCCATTGATGTCACACGCTCGCATAACGCTGATACTACTGCAAACATACGAAATGTTACTTGAGATGCGTCGTCCAGATTGAGAACCTATATAAAAGAGAACATGATCATTAAACGTAAAGTTGATGACGTATAAGTAAAGCATGTACAGATTTTTTTTTCAAAAGTATTTAAGTGAAAAAAAGGGTGCTATTTTTTTAATTGTTGACACAATTTTTTTAAATGGAAAAAAAAACTTTGTAAACATGTTTATGTCACGTTTTGAATAAATGGACTAGTACATTCGAACGATTTTATTTAATTGAAAAAAAATGCTTTGCAATTTTTTTTCCTGTTTTGATTTGACAAACTATTTCCTTTTGTGTTTGGCGTCAACAACATTTAGTTTCTTTAGAGAAGTTTGTGTAAGCTTGATTACTGCTTTGCATTGTACAAGTACACACCTTAAGTACGTATTCCAACTGTTTATTTGAAATCTGTTGGATACTAGGTACTCCTTCTAATGCAGTTCGAGATTCCTGTTGAAAAAGATGAATGTGTTTATACTTTAATTTTTAAAGTTAATTTAAAAGAATTAAACATTTTTCATATAAATTTAAAATACGTAAAGTACATGCATATATAGAATGTAGGCGATATATAGAATAGTTCAACTTTTAATGTTAAAGTGCTTCACCTGCAATAAACACGTACCCTTAACGAAATTTTCATTTTTAATTTCTTTTCAATTTTCTAGGAAATTATGATAATTATGAAGCATGTTATGTTGAAGTTAAATTATCGATTTTACGACATCGCAGAAGAGGTATTTATTGAATTTATTAAAAACCTAAGTAATCTAGCTATAAGCTGCATGCATGTTCAAGTGCATTAATTCATGAAACCGCCGATTGCAATCACATTAATTTGTGGTTATTTAAATACAATTTTATAGGACAGGTAACCCCTAGTTTTACTGCATTCAGAAGGCACTTTTCTCATTAAATCACCAACCCGACGATTTTTGGAAATTCTCTAAATAAAGTAAGTAACCCCATTCAGTGAATGTTAATTACTTCATCAAGAACAAAGTCAAATAAAGTCATACCTTGTAAGTTAACACTGTGTCCCAGTCTCCATCTTCCACAACAAAAGCCCGGGCGTAGCCGTCTATTTTATGGTTTTCCACTAGTCTGTAGTGATTTACAAAATCGATGTCTCCTGTAGGATGAAAGAATATCGTATACATTAATTATTCTGATATTACACACTGTCCAAAATTAGAAAATGTCAAATCATTTCAATTTGGGGGGAAAATTCAGGGCTGGTTTAAAATAAGCCTTTTGATGGGATATAACTTTGTAGATAAAAATATAATTTTAAAAGATTTAGTTCAAATATAAATAATTGTCGTAGTTAAGGAACAAAATTCAGAAAAAATTGAAACCCAAAGAAAACTGATTTCACAGAGGAATAAAAATGTCAATAAATCTCACAGTTACAGCAAATCTAACATGTTAATTTAAATTAAGAAATATAAGTGAAAGAATGCTAAGAAAAACAAACTTGTTTGACATAAAGCTATTGGACAGACCTGTTTCGTCCATTCTGTTGTAGTCGCCTTTTATGTCGGAGTGTGCTATGATCTTCTTCATGTGTTCTATCAGTTCTTGTCCTCCCTTCTTCAGCTTCACATTGACTCGCTTTGTTCCAGTCACTGTAGAAACATCAGAAGATGATTGACTTGTGTCAAAATACACAACAAAATTCATTACATTCTTCTTTTTCCTTCTGTAAGCACTCCTTCTACTTTGAAGACTCATTTTGCTTTTTGTATGTTGTCTGTTGCTTAATTTCAGTGAATGAAGTATATGTGGTACGTCTCTTTACAAGAAAATGGCAAGCATTAAGTCCTTTCAGGGATACTTAAAGTAAACCCAACTGATTTTAAGACATGTAGTCATTTAACTTTGCACAGTATTTGACGTCTGTGATTTGGAAAAAAATATCTTTAATTTCATCTAATCCGATTTTATTTCTATAAGAATTCTACACTGTAGGACTGATAATCGTACTGCAGTGCAACTTCTTCTGGGATTAGCTTTATTAAGCGGTTCATTTTTTCTTAAGGGGCTAGACTATGACCTTAAGTTATGTTACTTCTAATAGCAACTGAATTGTATAGTATTAGTCACCTAGATTTTGTTAATCAGCGACGTCACAATCGAGGGTGAAATGAACTGCACTTTCGGTCATATAAGAAACGTCAAACGCTTGGAGTGGCTTGCTAAATATTTTCGGATGCTACATATTTTTGGAGAGGCCAATATAATTTTCAAATATAGTTTTTCAAACAAGTAACAAGACTTCCTGAAAACATTTTCAGCAATATTCACAACCAGACTCAAAACAGCATATTATGTTAAGAATTGTCAAATGAGGATTGAATTTAAACATGTCTCCTATCCCCCTTGATATATGAGTTTTTTTTAAAAAGATATACTGCTTTATATTTTTGACAAAATTTATATTTTATTTAAAAGTGAAATAAAAACGTTTCTTAAGTTTCGAGAAGAAATGCACCTTAACAAAAATGTCCAGGTACTGGGAATTTTCCAGAAATATGTATGTATTTTGATTGCAACTTTAACCGATAAGGCATTTGACTATTACACATGGATTATAATAAAAAATTATTCGAAACAAAAAAATCTTTCTTTCTTTTTAAAGGAAAGGGGTTTTTAGAATAAACATCATACTTAGCGAAAGATTGTACTAAAACGTGTGACCAGTGGATATAACTATGAAACAAAAAGGACATAAACATTGAGTCATGAAACCCATTATATATAATGAAGATGATAAAAAAAAATAATTTGTGATATTTTGTACAATGTATCTCCTATTTCGTTCATCACTTTTCATCATTCCTAACCAAATTGCAATTTCACCCTATGTGCAACATCTGTTTCTAAAGAATCTAAATCGCAGATTTCTGATATTGAATGCAGCATTCGTGATTTACATCTAATCTTACTAAATACACAAATATTGACATTTGCATTATTAAATTAAATCAAGACATTTAAATGACTATTAACTATCCAGTGCACTAATGCATGCCTTTATGATAATGTTTCCATTATTCAAAGTAAGACGAGAAAGAAGAGTTTAAAGAACCCTGGTTAAAGAACTGTGTATTCTAATTTAACCTACATGTTTCCACATCAAGGTCACTGTCATTGGCAAGGTCATCCGTATCGGCGTCGCTGGAGTACTCGTCTGCATGCTTGGTCCCGATTTTCTTTTTACCGGCTGTGATATCAATATCATCGCCAAATTTTTCCTAAAAGAAGTTATTAATTGATCAGTGTCAAAATATATCTGATTACACTAATTGCTGCAATTGCAGTAATGTTTTTGTACTGTAATAAGGTAATTCGGGTATTTTGATGAATAACTTTACAGATTACGTAGCACCTATTCATACAGTAACATATGGCACAATTATCTTGAATTTTGATGCTTTTTAATTGAAAAATTAAATGTACTCTAAATAAATATCGAACCACACCCCTTATTTGAAGAGTCGATCTTATTTTCTTGATACACGTTTTAAATAAAACCTTTTTAGATTTGAAAACATATTGTTTACCAAGTGCTCGAAATTTACGTTGTATGATTTGTTTTCTTAATATCAAGAAAAGAAATATTTACGAGGCAACCGTTTAGGTCCTTCACAGAATTGTTTTGCAAAAATTTGTCTGAGAATATATTTCTGAATGTCTTTAATTTTGCAATTTTTCGTACTTTTTTTTTAATATCCCTTTTACTTCACTGTATCTATCATTGTTTACCTATATAAGGCCGCTATGCTCACCTTCAGTTTTCTGGCGATTTCTGCTTTTGACAGGGTCGGGTCTATCCCTAACCGTCTCAGATCTTCGTCTGTGAGCTTGTCTAGATTGATCTTCTTTTTCCCGCCCTTTAGCCGGATTTTGCCGTCTGCTCCAACCTCAAACTGCTCCTCGTCCGAGTAATCGGGATCTGAACAATATACATAGTACAACTCAGAAGACAAGGCTAAGGTAATGCTGCAAACAATGTTAATAATTTAAAAAAACAAAGTGTTTGTTTTCTCGACGTTCTTTGATTTCAGTCTCTATTATACATTGAATCATAATTCATCTGTATCCTTAATTTATCCACAAGTAATTCCACAAGGGCAATGAAAAAACTATTTGTGAAATGAAACTAAATATAGTACCTCATCATTTGTTGTTTTGATTGTCATAATTTTGATTAAACTACATATATGATTGATTTATCTCTATAAATGTATAGTTGAATATGTATTACAGAACATATGGGAAGTATTCGTGGATATTTTTTGCATGGGAATTGTACTTACCAACAACTTTTCCTCCCTTCTTTTTGACGACTTTCATATTACCATCCTCATCTGTTGAAGAAAATGTAAGTATTAACAAACCGGTTACACTACTACTTCTTCACATCGTATATCTAGCTTTATCTTGAGGAACTATTTGAAACAAAGTTTAAGACACTCACCGTATTCATACTCATAATCAGATCCGTCATCATCACCAGGCTAAAAATAGATAATATAAAATTGAGATTTTAATTGTATAATAGGTAATGTTTGGAAAAGCGTGTCAGAAAAGCTATAACACAGTAAAGAAACTTCTGTATCACACAGATAACTAACCTTTGGATTTCGACGAGTCTTCCTAATAATTCTACCCTTGTCATCATATTCCTACAGAAGGTAATGTTTTAATGATAATTCAATTAAGAATTCAATATTCATTCTGATTGATAATACTTCAAGGAACAGACTAGAGATATGATACTATATACATACGTAGTCAAACTCGTCATCCCGGCCTTTGTTTCCTTTCTTTTTGATGACTTTGCCAGTAACGGGATCAACAATTTCTGTAATAGCCATATGCATATTTAGAGCAAAATATTATCTCAGCAATCAAATTATTAATATTAATTAAATGTTAATGCATTTAAATATTTTTTTCAGATTATTGTTCTCTATAATTTTAGCATAAAGATATAGCAAGAGAATTATGTGATTGGTGATATGAAACGCCATGCAGTTTTGTCGAAAGAGGTGCAGAAAATTTGTGAGTAGTTTTTGTGTATATAATAACACACTATAGATAGAATATTGTTATTTTTGTGTATAATTGTTGCTCATATAGTTTTCACGGCACAGCTACATGTAGATTTACAGGAGTGTACAGTTAGACAGCTTATAATTCCGTTAAGTATTAGACAAAGAGTGTTATGTCTTTTGTTGGAGACCGGAAATGAAAGATATCGCCACGAGAGGGTGCTGTCTGGAACACAGCAAACCGGGAAGGCAAACACTTCACATCAACTGATCTTGCTTATAACTTACACACGAACTTTTCCAGGTAATATTGGTGCTTCTTCGAAAAACCGTCCATCTCATCATGAGCAGCGAAATTGAATCAAGCCGCGAGGAATTTTTTTTCATTGTTGTCTTAACATTACTAATAAATAGGCACTCCCTATGCAGATTTATCATTGTTTGTTTATTTGAAATATCAATTTATGTTTTAAGGTTAGTATTCATGTAGAATGTTCTACATCTATCACATTTTTTCAATCTAAATTTAGGTTTATATAATACGTTTTATGAAATACTTGTATATTTGTCTCACATTCAATTACATGCGTAAAAGATTGAGAAATATATTATTTGTATATATAACACTGAAAACTTTTTTGAAATTTATCTACTGTGAACAAGTATATACATTAATTATCATATTGAAACCCTTACCACGGCATAAGGTTTATTTTAAAATAGCACAAAATAAATTAACCAATATACTTCATAGATAAAATTTCATTCCAGCAATGCCATACAGTTTTCTAAAAACATTCATACCTTCTTCACTTTCATCATCAGCCTCGTTTCCATCTTTGCCTTTTTTCTTCCCCTTTCCCTTTTCTGGAGGAGGGCGTTTGCCTTGTCTAATAACATGAATCTTTGTTCACTAAATATTCATTTATATAATCTTTAACTGTAATAATCACCAAGTTAATCTATGTATACATGTAGAAAAGAGAAAAACAGTCCTAGCATACTTGACTAGTTCCGATCTTCTTGCTGGTTCCCCGTCCGAGTCCAGCGTCCAGTCAGAGGACGGGCTTATCAGACCTTTTTCTCTCGCCTCTTGTAACTTCTTCATTTTCATCTGTTTTTGTCTCTCCTGTTTGACCTTTTCTCTGTAAAAATAAATCTCTCTGTGTTATTTCTAATAGTAGCAACATTCCATTTAGAATTAAAAATTGCTGCAGGTTTCGTAACTTTTCATAAAACTGCACCTATGTTTTCAATTCATAAAGAATTCTAAGCAGAAAAAATTAAATTTTACGTAAACATTATCTTATAGAACTTGTTTGCTATTGTTGTACCCATGGAAGATGTCTAACTTTCATTCCATATTGTTGTTCCTCCTTCTGGACAACCGGAAAAAATACTTAATAATTAATTAATTAATGTACCTATGTTTTCATGGTGCTTGTTTTTTAATGAATTTCTACTAAATGATAAACAAAAAAAATCAAAACTGATATGGAGGAATTCATAAAATGAACTCGTCGCTGTGTAAAGAACTAGTACTTGAATTCTTCTATTTGTGTATGGAACATTTACTTACTGAAGGTACGAAATGATAGATGTTTAGTAACATTTAAACCTTCTAAACATACACAGCATTATAATGCCATTTTTTAAAATGAAATATTAGGAAACCTGTAGCATTTTTTTTAAAATAGGAATTTCTTTTATTGGGGTTTATGATAAAAAAAAAAAAGAAAACCCCATCAAATCTGATTTCGAAGAATCATAAAATGAACTCATTCGCTGTGAAAAGTACCAGTATTTGAGACATTAAAGTATTGATGATACAAAATATTTAAGGTTTATTAACATTTAAACTTCTAAACATACAAAGCATTATAATGCCAAAATTTTTGATATTGTATTATTCACGTGATTAATGGGTTGCCATTCAACGGGAGTTGAATATGCCTCAATATAGGAATTTAAGAAACTATAAATATGAAGGAATTAAACAAATGCTATTTTATGTAGTTGTCAAATTCTTAGGATTAATGTCATTTCTGCATTTGTGACACTACTTTTAAGATTAAAATAACTAGGTTATCAGGTGGGTGTTTGAGAGGTCGTCCATTGTTGTCCTAATGACACATTCTGAATTTAGCTACCCAAAGCAGTTAAAGACCCTTTATTGTGGTCTTTTGCATACTTGGCCTTCTTCCTGAGTGGTTCTCCTGTATCTGAATCTATTGTCCAGTCGGACGATGGACTTATCAATCCTTTCTCCCTTAATTCCGCCAGTTTTGCTGCCTTCTTCTTTTCCTTCTCCAGCAATTTCTTTTGTCTGTAAATTATAAATAAATTTTCGGATTTCAGTTGGTCAATTTTCAAAATGATGCAAAGTGAATGCACTGAAATTTACATCAGTTGCTCTTTTGAATTTTTGTAAGATCACGAACAAATTTTATCATTTTATCAAAAAATGTCCTAGTGCATGATTTATGTAATATTTGAAGTTTAAATCTTGTGCCGATTTTAAAAGATTTAATTGAGTATAAGACACATTTAGAATACCGTCATAAAAGACAAGATGGGCTAAAGTTTGTTCAAAAGAATTGAGTCAATGACGACTGTTATTAAGAATAAAGACACGTACAGTAATTAAAGATAAGACTTTAAAAGTAACTAAAACGTCCTTACAAAGAGCACCAACACGCGCTGGCAATTAATGGCAAGCAAATTCTTACAAGTAAATGCTAAGGGGGAATATCAATAAAACCCTTAGACATAATTGATGACTGATAAAACATCAAAGCATGCATAACCAAATACAAAATCAAATAAAAATTCAATTATAATAATATAGAAGAAAGGTAAGTAAATATAAGATATATTGTAAGTAAAATCTATCAGAAATACTGACTCCTGGTGTTTGGCCATCATCTCGTCATATTTATCTCCATATTTCTCCCTTCTCCGTTTCTCTCTTTCCGCGGCTCGTTTGGCTTTCGCTTCAAAGTAAGCCTTCTTTTCTTCCTCTGTCATATTCTCCAAATCTACATCATCGTCGTCCGTCGTACAGTCACTGAAAACGGGTTCATAATCCTTTCCCAGTTTGGCTTTTAGTTTAGCTTTTGCTGCTTCTTTGGCAGCTGCTTTAGCCTTTGCTTTCTTGCTGTTTGGATTTTCTTTTTTCACTCGGATTTTCCCACCTTTCCCGTCTGATATTTCGGAGTATAAACTATAATTTACAAAATAGTTTTTAAATAGAATACATTATCTTTTTTTTTTGTTTCATCAAAAAAAAAAAACAACTTTTAATAGTGAATAAGAAATACAGTAAATTATTACTTACCTAATTTCATCTGCAAAAGATAAAAAAAATACACATCAAAGAATTTTTTGAGAAAGTTATTGCCCAAATCCATAAAAAATACATTGATGCCTTTTTATAAAATTTATTCTAGGATCTTACCTTCGTCATATTCCTGTGCCTTTGCGTACCCAATGATATTTCCTTTTTCATCTCTGATTTTCTTTTTTCTAAAAGTCCTTCTAGTACCACCTTCACTTGTCTCGCTGTAGTAGCTATGGTCACTGTCCTCACCGCCTCTGTTTTGTTTCGTTTTCCTTAGTTTTTCTTTCTCTTTCTTCTCCTTTTCTTTCTTCTTCTTATCCGCCATTCTTCCACCCTCCTCATAGCTGTCAGCGCTGTGGTAAGATTCCGGATCACTGTAAGTTCCATCCTCTCTCTTGCGCCTCCGCATCACATGGCGCGTTCCACCCTCGCTTTTAACACTGTAGTAACTATGAGCGCTTCCAGCGTGCTCTCTGTCTCTTCTTCTTCGTCTTCTTCTTGCCTCTCCGTCAGCATCCTGATCACTGTGATATGACTCACTGTCACTGCGTGTTCCATCTGCTCTTTTGCGCCTTCTTCTAACGTGTCTTGTACCGCCAGCACTATACTCGCTTCTGTAACTATATTCACTATCACTGCCAGGGTCCCTTTTCCCCATTTTTCGCGCTCGTCTTTCCTCCGCTGTTTCATTGTGATCAATTTCTCCTTTGCCCAATCCTTTTCGTCCCTTGCCGCCTTTTCCTTTCTGCATGGACTCAAAACCACTATCTATGTCTGACTGCTTACCAACTTTTCTATGAATAACAAAGAACCAACCTAAAGTTTTCAATCAATTACATAAAACTGCAATTACCCTACATGTTGTATATATAAGCAGAAGCTATTAGAAATGTTATTCATCAAAGAGGATACTAGTTATCATAACAGACTTGGTCATAGCAGTTACGAATGCTATAATGTGCAGTTTGAAGGTGTACATTATAGATTTTGAGAATTTGTTTCAATAGTAGGGGATAATTGTTCTAGCAAACTGTGGTCTCCTTCAAACTTCGATCGACAATGTCTTACAACAGTGATAATGTCTTACTTCTTGTACTTTTTTCCTGTAAGGGGATCAACCACTACTTCATACACCGTTCCATCCTTTCCAACTATTCGCTGGCCCTCCTTAGCTGGAAAATAAAAAAAAATAAAATTATACTGACTTCGTCTAGATCGTTCGTTCTATTATTTTTCAGCATATTTTGATCTAAAGGTTATTAGAAAGTTTTGTTCAATGTTTGTGTATCTTGTTTATTGTATAAAACATATAAAAAGCAGTTAATTTACAAAAGTAGTTGAAAGTTAACTCTCGTAAATTAAAAAAGTACCATTTTTGAATTCAGGGTCATCATCTCCACCTCCAGAATACACTGTAGAAGCCTTTTCCCAGGAATCGATCACCTCTCCTTTTTCCAGTGGGATGAATTTCTTCAGGAAGTCTGGGTTTCCGCCAGATTCCATGAATTGTTTGTATTCTTCCTCTGTTAGTAACACCTGTTTTTCAATCAGACGACCACTTTTTGTCCTGATGTAAGTTTTCACAACCTTCATTGGTGTTGGGTCAGCTTTCTTCCACCCTTCTACTGTTCCTCCATCTTCACCCATGTATTTACCCAGAATATCGTTCAGATCGGCATCACCTTTCTGAAGTCTTTCATAATCGTCTGCTGACACATATATGGTTTTCTCAATTAGTCGTCCACTTTTTGTTCTTACTGTGGTTTTGATTGCTTTCATGGGCTCTGCACTTTGCCACGATTCCAATGTTTCACCATCACCAAGTGGCATATATTTCTTGATTATGTCTGCTGGATCTTTTCCATCTCGAATCATAGCATCATAGTCTTCTTGTGAAATCATTATTGTTTTCTCAATAATTCGTCCACTCTTAGTTCGCACATATGTTTTAATTGTTTTCATTTTAGCTTCATCCCAACCCTCTATTTCTTCTCCGTCCTTGGCATACTTCTTCAGAAGAGCTTTAGCGTCGCCTTTGCCTTGGGTTATAGCATCGTAATCCTCTTTTGAAACATACACAAGTTTTTCAATAAGTCGTCCACTTTTTGTTCTGACGTATGTTTTAATAGCCTTCACTTCGTCCTTGTCCCATGATTCCAAACCTTGCGCTTCATCTTTTGAGAGGTACTTTTTAAGAAGGTCCGACACATTTTTACCTTCTTTGAATGCTTCATAGTCTTCTTCTGACAGAAAAATGATCCTCTCCACCAATCGTCCACTTTTTGTTCGAATGTAGGTTTTCACTGCCTTGACCTCTGTCAACAAATACAAGGTCTTTAATTAGATACATCTTGTATGAACGCGTGCGTGTACTGGTTAATATTGCATGTATAGAATATGATTTAAGCATCGTTTGAATCTCAATAGTTACAATTTTTAAAGTTTACCTCGAGTTTGACTCTTTGACTTACGTTTTTCGCGGATTGATTCTAGCCTCTGTTTGAGTATAAGCTCTCGCTGCCTCTGTAGCTCTAATTCTTCCAATAAACATTTAACGTACCAGTAACCATGGCGATAGCCTCCACCCACACGGATGTATTTGTGCTAAAATGAAAATAGGATTATTTAAAGGCAATTATTCATATATCTTATTTTAAATCATACTATATTAGAATAAAAGAGCAAGTAATTTGTTCACGTACCGATTCGCATCTTTTGTGTGGAACTTTTAATAAGCATTTAAGACAGTCTTCTACTGTTGACTGAAAAAGAACAATAAAAATGCAAAAAAAAAATTTACAAAAAAGAACAATGCAAAGAACATAAAATTGAAATTCATAATTATTTTTCAATCATTGCTTTCTAAATAAGAAATGTGTGATCATGAAAATTATTTTTAGTTATAAATTAAAAATTGTATGCATGCATGTCAATGAAAATCACGATGTTATGAGAGAAGGTTACCTTGTTCAGATACGGGGAATCTGCTGTGAGTTTGTTTTTGAATGGGTCAGGGGTTTTCCTGAATTTGGCGGAGTACCTTGCACGTACGTCTGTGTTTGGGTTGTATCCAGATCTCTACAATTGAAAAAGCATCTGTAAATTGACATTCCAAAAAGAGAAATTTAATTGTATCACTCACCTTGCTTAGCTTGATTATTTTATAACAAAGGATATTGTCTCTATTTTTCGACAAACATTTGTTTGTTTTCTTAAATGTATACAAATTTGCACTAATTGCTTTCGTTGTAGTGTTGACTTTAAGCCTTTAGAGAGCATGCAGAAATGCCGCTAATGTTAACATGTTTACAGATCAAATTAAATTTCATATATAAATAAAGTATTTACAAGAATTTCTATCAAAACAACCTCCAGACTTTTTAACGTCAGTACATGCAGCCCTTAATAAAAAGACACACTTTATAATGACACTGCGTCCTTAAGATGTTGACTTGTTTCATTAGAATCCATTTAAGCTAGGTTGCCACTTAAAGATATACACGGGTATATTTAAAAATATTGATCTATTTGTAATAAATGCAAGGAAACGTTCCTTGTGTGAAAAACACACTTAATAAAAACAGATGATTTGGCATTGTCTCTGTTATTATTTCACCTCTATCACAGCTCATCTCTATATATACACTTTTTTCAGTCATTTTGTACTTGATTGACCGAGTGTTTTTTTCTGAATTGCCCCGAAAATACATCATACATAATTTTATTAATTATTTATCAACATAACCAAAATAGTTTATTTAATTTCATGTTTTCTTAATTATATGCTGAAATATGCTTATTGATGGAGTAAAATACTGAATACTCGTAAATTGAATAAAACTTTTTTTGATTATAGATGTTTTTTTAATGTTTCTTTATAATTCCCCCATTTAAAATTTTTTTCATGAAGAATATAGGTAATCGGTAATGTATTGAAAGCTAATTGTTTAACGTACATACATGTTAAAATAGAAATAAACACATAACAAATAACACTCCTTACGGTAGTCCATCTTTGATATGAGCAAATTGTTACCTTCCTGCATATACACTCTAGTTACTTTATTTGACCAAAGTCTGTAGATAGGAAAATTAGAGGGGTGGAGAGATAAAGAAATTACTTGCCTCCCGTTCATTATTCCTTGAAGCATTTTTGTACAAATCCAATAAAGTTAAATCTGAACTTGATCGCCGAAGTAAAACTTTTGTTGAGTTTAATTCCCTAGAACTTGTAGTTGAATGTAATTCCCTAGAACTTGTAGTTGGATGTAAGTCCCTAGAATTTATTGAGGGTAATACACAGACTGTTCTCTCCATTATAAAAAAAAAATAAAACTTAATGTTAGAAAATGTGTAGCACCGTATACACTGTGGCGATCTCTGGAACGACTTAACTAATTCTATACCATGTTATTTTCCAACGAGTATTGGGATCCTCAAAGAAAATAACCATCTCAATGTCACCAACAGAATCGGAAAATAACGAATTGAGAATACGTATTGACGCACAGAGGTAAAAAATTAAAGTCTATACAGCACCAATTATAATTTTGATCTGGGGAAGTCAAGGGCAGTTTTCCAGTGAGATTTTACATGTATAACTGTCCTTATTTCGCATGGTTACATTGGTTTTAAATATCAAGGTTTTTATCCTTTTAAACTGCATTCATTTTATTGACTTGATAGTAATCTGAACTTTTCGAGCATTTATGTTTTTCAATACTTTCTGTCAGAGATTCGAATACGTTTTTCAGAACTAACAAACATGCGTATTGCATCTTGTGTGTTTACTTGTGAACTCTGGGATCCAGTTTTTATGCTGTATTTTATTCGTATATGAAAAGAAGTGGTTATTTTCCCATCAGGTGATATCGAATTTATTTCATGCAATTTAAATTTCTTATTCATTATGGGATATAAAGATTGAGGTGTGAAAACATCTTATTATAGGATAAATATGATATGTTACCTTTGTAAAAAAAAAGTTATTAATTTTAAAAGTTAGCCCACAGAGCGAAGTCGAAATAGGTATGTCCATGCAGGCAGAAAGTTTAATATCATTTGTATTTAAGATATGTATATACACTTTAAGTACACCATATTTAAAGATATATTATGATTTTCTTTAGTTTACTTCAGTCCTTATATTCTTAATTAAAAGAAACAGGCGATGCTGGAACTTAACTTAACAACACATATATTAAGCCTATGTGTTTATATCATCAGGAATAAATTACCAATTATAAATTTTGATCATATTCTATATTCGTTCTAAATATCCCATACAAACTACGCATGTATCGTACATATCTAGTTATCACAAGTCAACATCTCTGACATCAGACACGTGACTGAGATTTTGTTTGACAACGAGGCACTTCGCATTATTCCAAAAAATCATGAAAAATCAGGAATAATGACTAATCAACACCAACTAGGGGACTGTTCACGGGTGATTCTTTATAAACTGTATATCGGTATGAACATTTATTTATGTTTTAAATGTTTATATGCTTATATCTGAATGCAAACCTCATTTAAGAAGTTGCTATCATGCACACGACTGTCAATAGCCAGAAACGGCTTCTTTTTATCTACATTCAATTAAAGAACATCTTAAATGAGCAGAATTATCCAGAAGTGTGTGATTCTCTAACACTTTATGGTTTTTCATTTCTAAGATACTAACACTCGTGAACTTTTTTTGGCTCGAGTCTGAGAACATTGTCATGCAGTTGTTTGGAGTCCCACCAAGGTAAATTTGATCTTTCTTGCTCTTGTCATAAATGTATCATTAATTTCTCATGAACTAGCGATTCCCTTGTCAAATCTTCTAAATTCCAATATACGCTAGCTTGCAAATGGTGAAGAAAACTATTTATGAAAGGTTTTGCTATTGGAATCCGTTAAATATCAAAATATGTCTGTTTACAAAACTCAGACGAGCTTTGCGTTCTGTTTGGCGAAAGAGGAATCCACTGATCATTTATAAAAGAATATTGTCTCCAATTCTAAATACGAAGTTGTGAACTAGAAATTTATCTAAAAGAAGGATTAAATTTGTCTACAAACATGATTCTTGACTTCACACGAGCTGTACAATCAATACTATTGAGGAGGTATGAAGTCATTTATATGTACTTAGTGGACATCCAATAATCCGAGGTAACACCCAATAGAACAAACCATTCACTGTCTACCAGACATTGGTGTTTATTAGATACAATGGTAAATGAGTAAAATTCTCATTTTGTTTGCCTGCAGGAACTAAAGTCTTCTATAAAACGTGAAGACTTTGGAAAACAACTGCATTAATGGAATGAACTGATGTTTGAAGAAAGAAATTTGTTGTATCTGAATTTACTTTTTATAAAAAGTTTTATGACATTAAACTGCATATTGAATTTTATTTGAAAAGTCATGTTGCTTTTAATTTTAAATACATTATAAACATTAGGAAAGATACCTGTATAATAATACCGGGAGAAGTAATTACTGGGGATTGTTAAGAATATGAATCTGCTGATTGCCAAGTTTTTCAAAATGCCATTGTGAATAATTTTTTTAAAAACTGTTTGGGTCTCTTTTTTTAAGGAAAAAGAGAAGAAAAATGTTTCAGATATTCGATGCTAAGTATATATTAGGTTACCTTTTAAAAGGTAAAACATCTCTAAGTGCACCTGAAGTGGCGACATATGTTCTAAAACATGCCTAATTTATGGAGACTGGGATTACAAAGTAATAATATTTGTAATAAAGAATGTAAAGACTCTCGAAAGATGAAAAATACATTTATCTGTATATTTCAAAGAAAACTGGGTATTTTTAAGCCTAAAACCTGCCCTGAAAAGATAAGAAAATAAGAAAATGCACATAAATTCTGGTCCGTGACGTTTTGGAAACACAGCAGGCACAAACAGAAAACGTCAGGACTGATGGTGTCAGTGAAGAAAAGCCCATCGATTTAAATCACACATGCACATCAAAAGAAATGTTTCTAATATCCCATACTTTTAACCTAAAACACTGATTTAAGTGCTGGACTTATCTTTATTTTCTATCAAAGATTGACAGGGAAATTACGGGTTCGGTGTACACTAAATTGCATGCCAAAGTGGTCTGGATCAAGTCGTCAATAGATAGACACTTGACATTGAGAAGGCTTTATCAATGTTATCTCTTAGCTTTAATCGTGTATGTAAGCAATAACCTTCTCTTTGGTAAATTATCTGAAAGGAACCGCCATAGAACACTTTAAAATTGTGAATTATTTCCAAGCGTTAATTAGTTGATGCTTACGTAATTTTAAATTGAATTTAAACGAATACTTAAATATTTTTTCTAATGATGTAATAGGATATAACTTTTTTTAAATATGTAAGTGCGCCTCAACGAAATTTTCAATGCATCAAAGTCGCAGCCGAAAAACTGTTAAACTCTGTTTTTCATATTCAAGACTAGCTGATTTGTAATTTTCCATTCCAATAGAATCTAAATATTTTTAAAATTATTTTTAAAATGTGATATTTCCTGAAATACCTGGTTAAGATGTTCAAACTTGCGCGGTATATGTAGCACTGTTTGAAATAAGCGTGCGCCCGACCGCCTGAGACGTACACATTTTGCAATGGGCGAACAGATTTACAAATATCGAGGCCCGGCTTCAAGTGTGAAAATTTCCCTTAAATTAAAATTCATATATTTGAAAAATCTTTCTCAGATTAACTTATAGTATCATATTAGCAAAGTGTAATGGGTAAAGGGGTAGAGTTCGTTTGCCTCTAAATTCGGAATCGGGGTTATGGTGATCTGGCCCCATTCAAATTATTGCTAAAATGAAATTTGTAAAAAGACAATTATTTTCTCGGACTAGAGGATTTTTGGTATATGGCTAGAGGATTTTTGGTAGGGTTCTCAAATTTCACTGGCAGTCAGCCCTGCATGTCTAGCTAATTTTACGGTGAGTTTCAAACATTGATATGTAGAGAGGCAGTTTTGCATAGGACCAGGTCCAAGATATTCCGCATCATGGACTATAATTATTCTCAACACCCAATTTCTATATATAGTAACAATATATCTTACCCTGCTGGTACGGAGGGAGGGCAGTTTGGCATAAGACCGAGGTATTCCGGAGGTGTTGGCGAGACCTGATGAGCGGAAGGAACAGTGATCTGTAAAATAAAATTATAATGTCAATATAAGATTGTATTCAAGTGTTTTTTCGTATGCCGAAACAAAAAACACTTGAATAAATAAACAAAGAAAACAAAATGAATAAATTATATTAAAAAAAAAGTCGAAAAAAAATTAAGAAATCTATTTATTACAAATGCAAAAAATATCCTGATATTATCGTGATATTTTGGAAAAAAAAAATCGTGATATATCGCGATACGAAAATTTTGGCGATACCCATCCCTAATTTTTTAATAAGGGGAAGGTATTCTAAGAGAACTTTATTTCTGCCAAGGATGGGTTCCAGACAAATTTTAAATATTAAGTCTACCAAAATGGCGTCCTGTTCATAAGTTCTAAGTCCTCAGCAGTATAGATGATGTACATATATCCACAAAACAAATCTACATTTAACAGGGTACTTTTCTAGAGTAATCAAGGTCACACAAACTGTACCTTGAAAATGCATTGTTTGACTTGTAATTCTATAAATATGACCTTGCAGAAGCCTTTGCAGATGTGGTCTGTGCCAAATATAAATTCAATCCGTGTATGTTGGTGCCAGAATAATTTAAATTAAAAAATTATTTACTCTGTTGTTCAGAGTAAATAAATATCTTGTTTCTCCTTTAACAATTACGAATGTCCTTTTAAAAAATAAGCATTGCACATTATTATTAAGAAAAAATTATTGAAAATAAACTTCTAGAGTTGGTTGAAAAAGACACCTTTTCTCCAAAAATGCTTGTATTTTATGTTTATTTATGATAAAACATTAAGCTCACATAAAACTTAGATGAGCTCACTTTTTATCCCAATCTCAATTTTGCAAAATGGATTAATAGTTGAGAAGTAAAACCCCAGTCACATTTCCAAAAACGACCAGCGGCCGACAGGTTTTGAAGCAAAAATGGGATTCTTCGGGTGACAGTCGTCAGTTCATCGGCCGTTGTCTTGGCCGATTTTGACCTAAAATTTTGTGTCCATCGGTCCAAGTTATAATTTTTCATGCGTAGGTGGCCGATTTCTTCAACTGCAGTTATCCGTCAACCAACCTTCGATCATCGTCCGACCATCGGCAGTCAGTTTATTAACTCGGTCGTCCGTCGTTGGACAATAAGGGTGTTCAAAATTTCGGCCGACGGTTGAAATCAAACTGTAGCTTTGATGCGAAAATGAATATTTAAGCTATTAATTTTACATAACACAAACAAAATTTTGATGCATGGAATGATATAAATTTTTTTAACGTAAATAACATAAGTAATTAATCCGAAAGATATAGAGAAATCTTAAGTATTCTTTGTTGCTTAGATATGTACCATTTGTCGTTTTTATGCAATTCCATACGAATTTTGCACACATTTTCGACACTGAGTCACAATTTTATGAGATTCTGCCACTTTGCCTTGCAAACATTACTCACGTCACCTATCTGAATATAGATCTATGAAAAAATAATGCTGATTTCTAAGGAAAAAAGATTTTTTGTGTTTTTTATCCAAGTCATCGGTGTCCCTAGGAAATAATGTGACTGCTCCGTGTCGCCCGACACTGTGTCGGCCGATCCTGTTCTTTCAGCCGACAAGACCAGAAAAATTTAGTCGCCATCGGCTAAAATGTGACCTAGGCATAAGACTGCGATGAAAAGTGAGCTCATCTTAGTTTTATGGCCCAGCAGCCTGAACTTTTATTGCAATATATAGTTGGGTATGCATGTAAATCTTGCATATGAAATTCCTAGCATTTGCATATTTGAATGCAGCACACGCCTATACACATAGCTCTAATTGCATTTTACCTAGATAAATTTAAAATAATTAACAATGCCGGCTTAATTACCAAATTCTAATTAACCTCGGCCACTAGCCCTTATCGACCGATCGATTAATCTGCCCAGTAATCCCAATAGTTAATACTATCAAAAGCAATCAACATTGTTTTAATCTCCGCGTGGCTTGACATAAATCTCAACGTGGCACTTTAATGTTCCAAATATTATATCGACGGGGCAATTTAATGGTATTCTTTCTGGGTTATTCTTTGCAGGACCGCTGTATATGTATTTCAGATATTCAGAATGTAACATTTACTCAAAAGCTTTTCTTTATGTTGATTGATATTTTTTCCTTGAATATGATTTAAGAACGAAGTCAAAAAATTTGAAAAAAATTTGACATCTAAAATACAGCTTAATGTACATAAAAATTTAAATGATATTTAACTTTTAGAGTGTATTATTAATAATCAATTGCAGTTCAGTTCCAAAATCGAAAAAATTGTCAACATGTTCATTAGGGAAAGTCTTCACAATTTACAAAGAACATAGTAAATATATATACAGTACAGATAATAATAAACTTTGACCTTACAGAACCGTGAAGATAAGTTATAATTTTTACAGACAGAAAAACGATTACATTTAAGACACTAAAGCACTCTCTTTTCTAGCATGGTCCCACTTATAGGCGGACCAAGTAGGTAGGATTTTAACTTTATTTTTGTTTATTTATTCATTTTAATTAAATTCGGTGATATTGATGTCCTTGAAAACTTACATTTTAATTTTCAAAAGGCTCAAAAGTTCAAGAAACTAGGCAAACATTGACACCTTTTTGGTCTTTCCAGCTCACTACTCCGGCTAATAAACCTCAGATCAAACGGATGCAAACTTCAATTGAAGAGCTCCCACATGCTCCTCTACTGCATGCCATTTAAAATTTATCCAAATAAGATTTTTTTTTCAGTAACAATGAACTTAATCTTCAGGTAGATTTTGCACTAACATTCCAGGTAATTTAATTTCATTTAATGTCGACTTTGTGCAGGCAGTATTTTTTTCATTTTTATTGTGCATTCCGATGATTTGGATGAAAAAGTTTACTTTTCGAAGAAGGAAGATGAGATTTAGTTGAAATTTAAGAGCATTTAAAGTTTAATTGAACATTTTTTGTTGAACTGAATCCAAACGTGTTAATAATTTCATTTTTTTGATATTGATGTACTTGATAATTTATCTAGCATGTTTTAAATATGTTTTTCATTTTTTTAAATAAAAATACATGCCGCCTTTTGTTCATGTTATTAAATCAATGTAGATGAATCTGCAGGGGAATTTCTATCGCAATAAAACAAAACACTTGAAAAGATCTTGGCCAAAATATCGATTGTTAATTTATTTTAAAAGTTAAAAATGTCTCACTTTGGTGATGTGAACACATCGCGGATTTAATGCATTTGTAAACAAACATTATCGTAGAAATCAGTTAAAAACTGAAGAATCTTGTACAAAAATCAATGGCTTACACAATATGTCTTTGTGAACTGAAGACGGAATGTTTATTTTGTTAACGGTATAGATTTTCTTATTGTGAACAGAATTCCAAAAATGCCTTCCAATTGAAATTCGGTTTTAAGACTTTGATCCAAAACAAACCAGAAAGATTGTTTCTTATTAATTAGCTCTGTGTTTTAAAAAAAGTACCAAATATATTAATTTTCCAAAAAGATGAAATGAAGGATTTTTCATCTTTAAGGATAAGAAACTTAAAAAATGTGTATAAGATTTGCACCAAGAAGACACACAATATCCATAGATAGATTCAAGTTCTCTACACAATCTCATTTTACCGCATAATAACTTAACCCGTTCACAGTTGTTATGGAATTGTAATTTTAAGTGTGAGATATCGATGTTTTATTTCTAATCCCTATTCCTCTTTCCCTGTAGAATCGGGGGAAACTTTGGGGGCAGAACACGAATCTGATATCTACAACAATACAACCATTCACTGCTTCTCATAGCTCAGAAGTAAATCCTCAGAGTTTAATGAGAATTTATAGAAATAGGCATAATCTTCAAATCAATGGGGACCGCTACTCGGTGTGACATTCGCTGGGATACATGCTGAAGTCTCGGGTCTGAGGGATCTCATCTGCCACGAGACTTTAGAATTTTCTGTCATATAAGGATAAACAATGATAGATTGTCTGCCGATAAATATAAATACAAAACGTTTTTGAAACGAAAATGAACCAATTGAACAATCAAAATTACGAAAATATTTTTTTTAAACTTATACTTATAATGATATTTGCAAGGTTGTTTTTTATGCTCCTTAATTGGAAAATATCTTTTTCTTCATAATATCGAAATTCATTAATTGCACGGATAGAAAGTGGTTTCTTGACAATAAAAATAATATAAAATTTTCTTCGTCTTTTTTTTTTTTTTGAATATCGATTTAGAAATTTAAAGGAGATTCTTAATTTTTTTCCTTTAATCATATAGCAAGTGTAAATTCGTTTACATTAACCCTGAGGTGGGTGATTGTGAACTCAGTTCAGTGTGAAGCAATCCCTATACCAGAGTGTTATACATAAAATAAGACCAGAATTTGGCAAGATTATTGAATGTTTAATTCATTTGACCTTTAATTATTTATTCTTTTTTCCAGACCCAGGCAGTCATTTTTAATTTAAGACACTTTAATGCACTAACAAAGTTTCCGTTCAAAGAAAAGAATTTTAAGATATTTTCATATCTTCCTTTCTATCTTCTTTCATCTCTTGCTTTAAAAATTGATGTGTTTCGAAATTCATGATGAAAGACGAGAAATGTATAAGTTATATTGCACATCAATTGATTAAAGCCAAAAAAATCAAACGGATGCAATGTTGGTAGGTTCTTGTTTTTCATGAATATTAAATTCGTAACATGAGAAGTTGCTCTGAATGGTTCGAATTTAAATTTTGACCTGACATTTCATATTATTTGACTTATCATTATCCCATCAAAAACCTTAACAACTGCACAACATAATGGCATACGTAAGTAATTCTTCTCCATAAAGTACCGCGTAATATTAACGACAAAAAATTGAACTCTACATTGCAAAAAAATTATCTTCTACATCGCCAAAAAGTTGCATAGAGAAGTTACACCCTTTTTAAGAATTTGACTGTTTAAATTTGTGTCAAGAAATATTATTCAAATACATATTTTATTTTTTTATTGTAATGAGTAGTTAGAGTATAAAATTCTTAAGCTTAGAAATAAATTAGATAAATATAAAATGAACTATAAAGTAATGCAACAATAATTAAAGTTTCGTAAATTTGAAGAATATAAGCATTGTGTTTTTGTTAGTACATGTAACAAGGAATCTGTGGACCCTGATTATAAAGCATTGTGTTACTTACCATAATAGACGTGAGGGACGATAGAATAAGAGCTACACTGACTCCCACTGCTGGAGGGGCGGGAACGAGTGGTCTCAAATCCACTAGGGAGGGAGCGAGTGTGGAGGGGGATAGCCCCCGGGATAGGAGGCAGGGTAATGCCACTCATGATTTCCTAAAGCCGACTTCAGAGTAAACACAAGTACAATTCCAGAACAATTAGGAATCTTTGGAAATCACATCGTTCCTTTGGTTAGCTCCTAATTACATTCCGTTCACTTCCGACTGAGTCCAGCCAGCAACTGACGAAAAGTTACCGAATTTAGAAATCTCTCCAGGAGCTCGGGCCTGGGACCCGCATTGATTTTATTTCTTCGTCCTGTCAAACTTGAAGAAAGATAGCACTACGCAAGCGTTGATTTTGTCTTAAATTTAAAGTTTTTGAATCCGAGTCAAATACTGATATGGTGGTTTCCAAGCGTTTCTAGTTTGGTCCGACGTGCTCTTTGGCCGTGTGTATTATCTGGAAGTTTCAATGTTCGATCATGATATAGTTACATTTGGCACGGATGCGCATTTTATAAGAATAACTCCATTTAAATGGATCGGATCATAGCTACTGGATGCATTCTTACCAAATCATTGGCTTATCTCTACACAGTATACAAAACTAGCATTTAAAATACACAACATTGATTTGTGTAGATTTAAAGTTTAGAAGCCCATAAGATTGTTAAAATAATAGGCGCTATGTACAGTATAAAGACTAGTGTTTAACGAATAATAAAACTTAAGGAATTAAAATAAACACGTTCTTTAGCATTTATTCTACAGAGTTAATCTACTTGGTTCATTCCAGTTCATTTATTTACATGCTGTTCTTAATGCAATTGTTCACACAAGTAAATGACTTAAATAAAATACATAAATGCAAAAATTGATCTACAAAATTTACACACACACAAAATAAATAAATGTTTTATGTGGACTTTGCACCAGAAATTTTGTTTAAAGTTAAAGTAAGTTGAAATGATAATAAAGTCAATAACCAAAGGTTGACCAATAAGCTGCAGTTAGACGGCGTCGACAAATCATTAAATCTAGTCTTCCTTATTACTTTCCTTATGTATCGTGCGAAAAGCTTCGACGTTCAGCAACACTTGTAACGCGGACGCTGATAGGCGCAGGCAACTGCAACGAGCGAAAATCAAAACTGACGTTCATATTGAAACAGTAACGGCTGCTATTTTGGTTTAGTTGTACGGTGTTTATCATTTAAACGAACAGAATTTAATATATATTCAAAGAAACGATATTTTATCCATGTACAATGAAATCCAAATTATGTTAACTAAGCACTGAATTGTAAATTTTGGACGTTCATCGTACCATATCACTGACGGCTATGCAGATAAACCATAAAGCGCGAACACACGTTATTCAGTTTGCTAGGATATTACCATCTGTGTAATCACACGTCAAACGTCAAAAAAGTTGCAATGCAGCGCTCTATTTTTTTAATGGACTGCTCGAAAAAAAAATTCTATCAAAAGGAAACGGTGGAATATTTTTTTTTTACAATATCTATGCCTCTGCATTAACAATTAAATCTATTTACCATGATCTCTTTATTAAAAATATATATAACTTAGATCTAATTATTTGCTTACTGCACCAATGGCACCAAATTTTCTAATCAGGCATAAAATTATCGAGCAGAAAAAAATCTCAACCTTGAACAGTTAAATCAAACTTCTACCAAAAATACCTGTTTAATCTGATAATGCAGTTAATACAAATCATCCAACAAAGCCGGATTTCAACATGTTTGTCTTTGATTAAATTTAAATTCAGAATTGGATAATACTCAGACAAACTTATTAGCTACACAAACTCGGTGTCAAACTTGGCTATTTTTCATGACTTTTTTTATGCCACTGTTAGATGTAGAATATCTAGGATTTTGTAAAACATTCTGATCGAAGATGAAAGTACTCCGAGTTTCATATTTAAAACATAAAGATCCGATGAACAATTCCCAAATTTCCTGGAAATTCCATAGGAACATGTACTTACATTGTATTGCATGAAATATGTGGAGATATAAACAGTATTCAAGCTGAAAAGTCCATAAAGCAATGCAAATCAGGAGCCAAGCAAACACGGTTCTCTAAAACATTAGTTAAGATCAGGTGCCACGGAGGAGTGACCATCCTCTGTCACACCCGCCATGTTCTGCTTGTCATAAAGGAAAAAATCCGTCGACAATCAGTGTGTAAATAATGGCTTTACAAATAGTATGAAGAATGTCAGTCAGCATTTGACTTAATAATAGATTGTTTTGCTGACTAGGTCATTGTATCAACCGTAGAACTTACCAAATGCTAACATTAAACGATACTGTTGATATTCCTGTTGCATCAACTGTTTTGTCAAAACCTAACCTTGTTTCAGTAATTGTTCTTGCGTATCGAATTAACTGAGAGATATAAACTGCATATGCAGGTGGTAAGGGCAATATCTGCATAAATAATTGGGACATTGACGATTGAAAATTTGAAATCATCATGTTATTTATAAAGCTTTGTTCTTCGATTACCATTAACGTCTTTTTCTAGTAAATTCTACAAATATCAAACAGATGTGTCAGCCTCTGTGGTATCTTTCATTACAAGCTAACCGGGATATATCGTGTCGACATATTTATGAGGATGACCTCATTATTAGCAGAACTATTTTTGTAATCATATAAACAGAATTTAATTTTTAAAAAGTCTGCATAAAAAGAAGTGGTCTCTCTCTGTGTGACCTTTTATTTTACAAACAGGTATATCAACGACGTTTTGTCAGTTAGAAATAATTATTCTTATTTCTTCTTTCATTCAATATCCAGTCTAACGTGTCTCGTTTGTGTCTGGGTATATTACTAGGAAAAGACATTTATGACAACCTAAAAGTAAAAATATGATACGCGTGTTGACTTCAACTTTTCAATCGTCAACTTCTCTTAATATGTATGTCTATTAGCAATGAATCCTCAAAACATGCATATTTAGTTAATGTCTTCAAATTGATTCGATATGCAAGAACTTGTTCTACATACGAACAGTTTATGAAACGAGAGAGGCTTTTGGCAGGATAGTTGATGGTACAAGCATATTAATTGTCTCGTTTATTGTAGACGTTTCGCAAACTCTGTGGTCATTACAATGACCTTGTTAACAAATGCTTTTAAGGATTTGGCTGACTTTATCATACAAATAGTTGGACTATTACTTTCACACTGAATTCCTGACGGATTTATCCTTTTCTTTTCTTTAATTAGTCGAATGGAAATGATTGTATAAAGAGTAGAAAAGCTGCTGTTTTGAAGCCTAAAAAGTTTTGCGAATTAAATTTTTACAAAAGTTCTTTCTAAATTTTTAGAATTCGTATTTAATTTACACAATTTCTTGAATGTATTGTAGAGGAATACTTCTAAAATTGTTTCCTCCAGATCAGTTTATATTTTTGAAAGGAGCGAGGAAAGTGGATTAATGTAGTATTTACTAAACACAAATGAGGGCTAGCTTGCTCGTTTAGGCAAAATAAATTAATAAGTGCGTATAGCTCTAATACTTATAATATAAAAAGATGATATCGAGGTCTTACCAATGACATACCTTATCTTGGAGAATAGGGGGTGGTGGTCAAAAATCCTCACTCCCTTCACATTTTAACGCGATTGACAGAGGATGTTCACTCCTCTCTGTCACACACCTGACCCAGCCTCTGATGTTTAAGAGGTACCGGTATGTTTTGTTCTACACCCGATTTGTATTGTTTGAACAGCCTTTTTGATCTTGAACAACACTGTTCGTTATCCCCATATTTCACAAACGAATTTCAGAAAGTCTCCCAAATATAAGAAACTGAAAAATATAAAATTAAGGAATTATGGAAATGTACAACTGTGACAAATATACTATTTCCCCTATTTCAGTTTAGGGTACATAAAATAGAAAATTTAAGAAGACAATATTGTCAATACTAGAATGTTTTAGAATAGGAAAATATAGTTTGCTGTTTGTGTGGGACAAACGAATGAGTTTAAAAGTTCAAGGTTATGGGTTCTTTTGCTGAAAAAGAACTTAGATCGATTCTTTATGGTTTAAAAAACTCTACTTTTCCATTTTTTCTCACAACGGCGGATATCCGTCTGAGATTCCCTGAAAATTGAAATGTAAGCTATTTAGGTACATGTACATTCATGCATACTGGTTTCTTGAAATCAATTTTATCCTGTAATTGGATGATTATGTATAACTTTGTAAAATGTATAAATTATTTTTTATGAATGGTTTCCTACCAAGATGATTAAATTATTTTATCCATTATCTGCCTCCAGGATGGGTTCATTAAAAATCTTTGAACAGCAAAAAATATGTAATGAGGTAGTGCTTCTTAAAATTAATAGATGATTCATCCATCCTAAATAAATTAATTGAGAGCTGCTCCGATTTTGTTTTAACCCAGTTAAGATCATCTGCAAAACAAAGTTAAGAATCATAATCGGAAGCACGAATTACAGTATAATTTTTGACAGGTGCGTCTTGTAAGTAAATAATCATAAAATATTGGGATAAGCAGTCATTTAGGGAAGGATACGCCATGCAGATCCGAATTAAAATCCTTTCATTTCAGGTTCGGTCAACAATTAACATAAAGAGTCAGGAATTAACCTGCTTGTCAATCTACCAGCTAAATCAGAAAATGTGACTTTTACAGTCAAAGAACTTACATTTATCCCTCTTGATTAATTTGTATAGATCTTGTTTAACGTCCATCTCAAGAGTTTTTCACTCATATTGAGACGCCACCACTTGCCGGTGGAGAGCTATATATTTTGTCCTATACTCGGCACTCAGTGCCATTGAGCAGTGAGGGATCTTTTTCGTGTCAGCACCGAATGCGATCTCGGTTTATACGGTCTCATCCGAAGAACTAGTCTCCACGTCCCACAGTGGGATTCGAACCCGCGACGTAAGGATCGACTCCTTACTTCGCGACTTAAGAGCAGACGCTCTAACCACTGCGCCATGCGGGCGACTATCCCTTTTATACATCAATAATACTATCATAAACAAGAAAATGTAACTCCTCAGCATTCCTCATCTTCTCTTCCATTAATGAAAAATCAATGACAAATCGCTTTTGCGACCCTGGTGACCCATTAAAAAGACTTAAAAATAAACATAAAATCTCATCTACAAAACATGGTCAGTTATATACAAAAGCATATTTGGATTATTTGGATATCATTCAAATGTATAAAAGAACTCTGTTACATTCACACATTAAAAATTACATTTTTCAGCCCCCAAGATTTAAACACGCTTATATATTGAATGTAGTCAGTATCAAAATTAAAACACTATTTGGAACACCCGCAAGACATGATCAATCACTAGCCAAAATTAAATTGTAAACATACAATAGGCAGGTCAATTTTTGTTGGAGATCATACGAAAAAAGAATTTTCCCAATTAATATCAGTAAATCAGTAAAAAGGACATAAATGAAAAGTATATCATTTGGACAAATGGATGGGCTTTGGCTACAATGTACGTGAACACACTCTACAGAGTGCAGCTTTCGAGTGATACTTATAAATTTTCATTCTTTGAGTTAACAAATATATTCTTGCTTACAGTCATATATCGCTTAATAAACGTGTATTCTCTTAGACATATCTATCATTAGACCTAAATAAAACTTTTCAATAATTGAAGCAAACTGTCATGAAAATTCCATAAATATTGCTCCAGCTAAAGCTAAAATAACTTGGAAAAAATAACTCTAATGTCTGGATACCAAGAAAGATAACCCAAAAGAAGCCCAGACAATCAATAATATCAAATTTACTTTTTTCGAAAGGAGACCGGTATTTTATGCCACTTTTCGTATTTAATCTTTCGGTGGGAAAATCTTGGAATTTAAGGTTGAAAGAATAAAATATATGTAAAAACGAACAGTATCAAAAGCTCAAAAGCACATTTATCATTACAAAATTTAAGCGGAGCAAACAAGGACCTAAACAGCAGAAGTGGTATCAGGTGCAATGGAGATGTGCATCCCCTGTCTACCGGTCACACCTGCCGTGTACATCTTGTCATTTCCGGGGAAAAAACGAAAAAAAAACCGTAGAAACTCCGTATGTAAATAATAGGGACCATAGACTTTACGAAATGATGACTGTAGCTTACACGAGATTGGTGATTTTATTCCTTCGTCAACTTGTTTTTCAATAACTTACCTCGTTTTAAAAAGTGTTCATACGTACATAAGAAAGGGAAAGGTAAATATATTGACAGTTTTTTTAAGATATGACAAAACAGAACAATCTTCTCTTTAAAAAATCAAAGGTTTTACAACTCCTGAAAATACGATCTTATCTTGACAACCTAAAGATGTTAAATGCTCATATAATTAGGGAAAAGTTGAATATTAGTAATATATGCAAAACATATATAAAAGAAGATCCTTTAAACAAATCAAATATTCTTCTTACAAAAACGAATGAATAGACCTTTCAATAATAACAAATGAAACAAAACGCATTCTTATTTGGTAATTGTGAGTCCCATAACATATGTGAAGTCGCCCTGAAATTTTCAATGTAGGAGAACTCCCTAATCGTTGTTCATTTATGAGATTTAGCTGCAGGTATAGGTCTGACGAATATGAATACCTTTCCAAAATGAAAAAAAATACTTTATTCGATTGTTTGTTCCTGTTTCTATAATGAAAAGGAGGAAGATAACAGATATCGATTCACAAAAATGTATTGATCAGGTATGGATGGAGTATTCCTAGTCATATTTTGCATTTAAAAAATCAGGCCTTTCGAATTTCATGAAATGATAAATGTGATGACGTGAACTTTTCAGTCGTCAACTTCTCTTAGTTATGCAGCAATATACCGTTATCACCAGCATACGGGGATTTTATATCTCTTAGCTGATTCGATACGCAAGTGAACGCTTTACGTATGAACAATTTCTTAAACGAGGTAAGTTATTGACAAAGATGCTGGTGAAACAAAAATTGCTATATATACAAAGTATGTAAGGAAGGACTACTGACGATTGGAAACGTGAAGTCATTTCTGTCTACTGGATCAATACATAAGATTAACTGCGATTGTGGCCGATCAACAGGGGATGCTTATCCCCCCTAGGCACCTCATCCCACCTCCTGGCTCTCCTGGGGTATGGTTCATGGCCTCTTCACATATTTGTGGTGTTAGATATTTTTTGATCGAGCAATGTTTGCTGTCTTTGCTTTTTCTTTATCATATATCATGCATTATATGTACCGTATGTACAATTAAATTGTCTTTCTAAAAATGTGTCATTCTTTGCAGAACTTTTTAAAAGAAAAGAAGTATACTGAGTTACTCTCGCACTGATGTTTGATAAAAGAGATTTATTGAAATTGATTTAATTGGTAATTTATGGGAGTTATAAAAATTTTTAAAAATTATATCTTGTTCATAATAAATTTTCAAAAATCATTTAATGGCCAAATAAAAATTATACAGGTTATTTTTTTAAGTTTTCAATCTTCTTTGAAGGTTGTTCATAAATTACATTTTTTCTGTGTTATATTATATTTATTACATACTTGAAAAGAGAATTCTTTTTAGTATGATTGAATGTCTCAGTCTGTATTTACTTAGATTCCATGGTTTGTTTGATTGCACATTGGTTTTTTAATAACTAAATAAATTATATGTTCTATTCTTCTAAAGTGTCATATATGTCTTGTCATTGATAAGGTTTTTTATTATCAGTTAACATTCTTTCTAAACAAGGAAGCCTGTTTCATCATTCTTGATGACTTCTTGATTTTTATCGATCAAGAAAAATTGGGAACAAAGAAGACAAAATCCCAAGCTGGACATTGCTTCTTTTGTATAATATTAACAGTTTTTTTTCTTAAATTTAATAGAATTTAATAATTCTATTAAATTAGAATCGATTTTTTTTAAAAATATTAAATATTATCGTACGTTTCTCATTGTGCAAGATTAGACAAATTGCTTATAGTATACATTTATGTTCCAGAGATGTTTCAATAGTTGAATCATAATGACTTTGAATGTAAAGCAATGCTTTGGTTAAGCAAATCTATAGATTATGAAATGCTTGTGAATGAACTTACTGTTTTGTTGAGGGTTTCTATGATGCTTCAGACTTAATTCAGCGCATTGTCATTCAATTATTTCCTATTATAATAAGATTGCGAATTTGTAAAGAAACTGTGATCTATACATGTAATGTTGTAATGGTTTTGAACATCAGAATTAAAGATCCGTAAGTTTAAGTTTTATTTGTTTTTACTTCTGAATGTATGCATCTATACCCACAAGAAAACATACACACATGTATATATACGTTGATTTATGTTGATTTTTGTATTACTGAAATAGACTCCCAACTTTCCTTACATTGGCTTCTTTTTGGTTAAAACATTAGGTCTAGGTACAAATTACTGGGTTAACGTAAATTAAATACACTTTGGAGAAAGAAAATAAAAATTGATCTTACTTTTGTAAAATGATGCCTCAATTCATAGCTTTACATTGAATTCTGAACTACAGTTAAATGGAGGAAAACTAAATTTCTTAGTTGAAGCATTTTTTTTAATTCCCTGTCCAAAGGGATGAAATATAAAGCAAAGAGCATTTAAATCTCTTTAATATTGATTGATGCACTAACAAAGTTAATTATTGAATTGCTAAATTGTTTGGTTTTCGTCTTTCACGATGAAAACAAATTTTTTTATTAAAAGGCCAATGAGCCACAACTCTTATGGTGAAAATCAGAAACTTGATCAACAATTACCAGACATTGTGAGTATGGTGATATACTGCAAGTTAAAACAAAGGCATCCTTTTTAACTCGATGTATTGCTATTGTTCTACCCAGTAAAAGATGTCAGCTATAACGTATCTTGATTTCTGTCATGTGCGAGGTTTTATTTTATGTAAATCTTAATTATGAAGTGTAAAGAAATCATCAAGTTCAAGTTGGGTGCTCTACCTGTATAATGTGCATTAATATTCAAACTGCTTTAGAAATTGAGAAGATAGCAGAGGCTTCAGTTTAGCAAGAATGATTTATTAAGTCTTTCTATTGCTATTAAAATGTAATGTGTATGTGTTTGTTTACATTAAGAACAATTTAAATTTTATCTGTGTAATCGTTCTCAAGTGTTTATCTAATGGTGTATATTTAATTAAATTTCAATAAAACATCATCATGCTTTTAAATTATGCCTTTCCAAGGATAAAACACTACATAAATCAGAATAAATATTACAATTTGCTTCTCTTTTCGAATCAAGGAAGTTTAAAACGGTATATTGCCTTTATTGGAACTTTGCCATACTGATACATAGAACGGTTTTACCAGAACACATGCGCAGGTCATACCCATTCCCGGGTGGAATTTTCTTTGTTTACTATTATTAATACTATAAGAAGATACAGTTGCGCCATATAATCAGAGTTTATTAAATGATTGATGCAGCATGGACAAAGAGGAGGGTAAGGTATACGGGGATTATAGGCTGGAGCAGCTGCTAGGGAAGGGGACTTATGGATACGTGTACAAAGCCAAGAAGATCTTACAGGAGGGCACCTCGACCACCAAACAGCTCTCGGTACGTTCAAAACATAAGGTGTAACTCAGTGCAAATATGGCATGATGATAAAAGTGTCATTGTTTGAAATAGTTCCCTTTCAGAAATTTCTGTAAATGAATTGGAATGGTATTGGTGCTCCTGAGTAAAAATACTCATTGAAAATCTTTTAATACCGAAAACAAAGCTTAAATAAAGCGGGGTTTAAACATGTTTTCACAACGTTGTTTTTTTTTTTATTATTATTTTTCTATATATGTGTAGTTGTATTATTACTATACACAGGTCATTTAGTAAATAGGTATCTATTTCAGGTTGTATTTCATGTATTTAAATTCGTCAGTGGTTTACTTTTTAGATTTAGGTCATTTAAATTTTCCCGATATTGTTTTATTAAGCATATTATTGGGGCTTTTCATTTTGATATTCGAATTGTAAAAGTGAAAAATGTTTATGAGACATAAACAGCACTGTTTTGTGCCCTTTTTACGTGTCAATATAATGCATGATGCCGTTTGTAAATGAAGAACATTTATGTGCTATAGATGAATTCATCGATGCAAAATTTAAAATAATCCGAACCAATACGAAGTTATTTTAGTGACTGGAGCGGTTTCATTTCTCAATATAATTCAGAATTATTAAAAATGAAAATGAGACTTACTTCAATGTTGAATAAAAGCTTTTCTGCCAATTTTTGAAGTTTTTGCAATATCTGTAGTATACATGTGCATCTAGTGACTTATGAATACAGGTTCCATAAGGAATAGTTGAAAGTAACCAATTTTTTTCAATTTTTCGTTTCTTAAATTTTTATCATTAAGAGACACATGTTTATTTTTGCTTTCGTTGAAAATGTTCTCTCTGTGGATAAAGATAATAAGAAAGTAACAGCTAGATTAAATACACTATATTGCACATCTGCATCCCTTTCAAGAGAAACACTTGAAAATGAATGTTCTTAAAATAGAATTGTAAGCATTTTTAACGCTTTATTTATTTATTTCTAATTACATGTATAGCATTTACACTTTACGGGGTAAAAAACTTTTAAAAATCAAGCAATGTTAGATCTGGCTTGTCTAATATAAAACTGACGGCAGATTGCCAAACTTACATACATCTCTCTTCCTTATTTCAAAATAAATTATAAATAACTTTTCAGAAGATTCTTATCAATTAGGATTATATTCCGTGGAACTTAAAATAGTATTGATGACTCATTGGAATCCTATAGTGCGCTATAGAAAGATCAAATTTGGAGACAATTTTCAATTCGTATTTTATTCTAGAAATCTATCAAAATCTGCTTATATAACATTTAACACATATTTCTGAAGCATTTTTTAATGTATCGTTTAAATAAAACAAAATTGTCACAGTGATTTTCCAATTGAATCTTAAGTCCTCGTGTTCATTCTTACTGATTACCATATATTTGTATTTTATATATTTTTTAAGGATGAGACATTTGCAGTGAAGCTGATTCACATCAAAGGTGATACAAGTAGACACTGGGAACTCGTGGAGAGGGAGGTGGAGGTGTTACAGAAGGCTGAGGAAAAGAAACACCCCAATATAGTGTCCTTCAAGGAATACTTCAAACATAACACAGTTCCCTGTGTTGTGATGGAGTACTGTGGTGGGGGAACCCTGTATCAGAAAATAAGAGACCTAAAAAAGGAAGGCAAAGTAATCAACGAGGAAGAATTTATATCTATACTGCAACAGATAGCCCTGGGTGTAGAGGTGAGAAGAATTTATTTCTATACTGCAACAGATAGCGCTGGGTGTAGAGAAAATCATTTAGTTTTAGACCTTAAATGTTATTCATCTACTTTAAGTCGCATGTGTACTTCAAAATCTTCAAAGTTTTCATTTCTCATAGGTTCTTCACGACCTAAATATTATTCATCGAGATTTGAAGACCAAAAATATCATGTTGACTGAAGACGGCACTTGTAAAATAGCGGATTTTGGAGTTGCCAAGTAAGCATTTTACCACCTGCTTGTTTTAAAATTAATAAACTATACTTAGTGCTGATTTGTATGAAGAGTGCACGTGCTAAATTCCTCGTTTATACAATGCACATCCGATACATACTTCTTTTTATAAAAATTTATCAATGCTTTTCTTTTTTTTTTAAAATGAAGAATGATTGAAATAGCGGGGATAAATACAGCAGGGATTGGAACACCATTCTACATGTGTCCTGAAATAATACAAGGGAAATCATATGATCAAAAGGTACTGTTCTCAATAAAGTTTGTTACAATTGGTTTTCCGCCATGTTCCTATGACAACATTTTCAGAAAGCCTTTTTAACTATAGGTCTAAAGAATTCCAGTCACATTACGCTTCTTTAATTATAAAGACACGAATAAAAAATTCATTTTTTGTAATATGTTTAATAAGTTAAAATACTTGTTTGATTCCTCCAGGCCGATATATGGAGTCTGGGGTGTACTTGCTATGAGATTGCCACAGGTTCATACGCTTTTGATGGGAAATCTGTCCAGGAGATCAACGCCGTGGTGAAGTCTGGAAAGGTAAAGCATTCGGAGATTATTTCTGAAACAATTATCTGGAAAGATGGAGTATGTGAGATCATTTTTGAGACAAGAGTCGGGGAGGATTGCACGTATTAGCCGATTATTGGGACAAGAGTCCGTTTGTTTTCCATTCCGCGATTTTTGCAATATCTTGCGAAGACATCTATGTACATGTATGGCACGCCAATTTCACAAAAATGAGCAAAACATAGATTCACAGTCGATAAACTATGTTTATCGATTGTAAACTATAGTTTACGGACTGTAAACTATAGTTAACAACGTTAATCTATATTTTACATCTGTAAACCATAGTTAACGCGATAATCTATGTTTCACAACCGGAAACTATACTTAACACCAAAAATGATCATTTGCGATCGCAAAACATAGATTATCTGATAATTACAGTTTCACGATTTGTAAACTATGGTTTACAACTCTTAACTACAGTTAACGATCGTAAAGTATAGTTTACAGACGTGAATCTATGTTTAACAACAAAATCTATTGTTAACGTTTTATTACACACAGATAAACTTAGATTAGCATTCGTAAACTATAGTTAACAACCGTTAAATATAGTTTTACAGATGAAAACTATAGTTAACGAATTATAAACTATAGTTCGCGGTTTGTAAACTATAGTTTACAGTCGACAAACCTAGTTTATCAATTGTGAAACTATGTTTAGCACGCCAAATTCACAAAAATGTGCTAATCGTAGTTTCACAGTCGATAAACTAGGTTTATCGGTTTTAAACTATAGTTTACGGACTGTAAACTATAGTTAACAACGTTAATTTATATTTTACATCTGTAAACTATAGTAAACGCGATAATCTATGTTTCACAACCGTAAACTATACTTAACACCAAAAAAAATCATTTGCGATCGCAAAACATAGATTATCTGATAAATACAGTTTCACGATTTGTAAACTATGGTTTACAACTCTTAACTAAAGTTGACAATCGTAAATTATAGTTTACAGACGTGAATCTATGTTTAACAACAGACAGATAAACTTAGATTAGCGTTCGTAAACTATAGTTAACAACCGTTAAATATAGTTTTACAGATGAAAACTATACTTAACGAATCGTTAACTATAGTTTACGGTTTGTAAACTATAGTTTACAGTCGATAAACCTAGTTTATCAATTGTGAAACTAGGTTTAGCTCATTTTTGTGAATTTGGCGTGCCATATACATGTATTACTCACTTATTCCCATTTTTGAAATCCTTAAATTAGATGCCAGAAACAACGAAAATCCAGTACAGTGACGAAATAAAGAAACTTATTGTACAGATGCTAAGTCATGACGGGGCAGCTCGTCCAACCATCAAAAGTATCCTCCACTTTATAAAGGACTACAGAGAAAATGGGGCGAAGCCTAAGAAAAAGAAAAACAAGAAGTCAAAGCGACAAACGGGTAAGTTGCTACGTAATGTCGGGAAAACAAACTAGATATTTTATTTACCTATGAAAATTTTGAGTATTTACATACAAGTCATTGTAAAAGCATTAAATTTAGCAAATGTAAATGACATATATTTTGTAAATAAGAAAATCAGGATAAACTTTGAAATCACTTCTTTTGGTGTTTTAAAATTTCTTTGTTGAGAAAAAAATCAATACATGTGTATTTTCTTGCGATTCGAATTTTAGTGTTTCAAGAATGACAAAAAAAGCACTCCCCTCTCTGTGTAAATTAGTGATTTTGTAGTATCGTGTGAGAAAAAAAACAACTGATTCCAATATTTATCTGATGACAATAAAAATGATTTCATTTTTAGAAGAAACAGACCACTTACGATTGAGGGATTCGGGTGTAGATATGTCTAGTTCACTAACAGCACGTCTCGGTAAAGTATATATTGAAAATGGAGTTCATTTTTAGTTTAATTTGTTTTCAGCATTTTTGTAGATAAACATTAATTTCGCTCTCTTATTAGATCCACGAAAGGCCTCAGAATGTAGGGAGTTTCTTGAAAAAGAGTCTGCCAAATTACAGGCGTAAGTGTTACCTTTTACTGAATTTTTTTTTAGCCCTGACGAAGATGACTTCAATGAATTTTACCCACGTATGAAAATACAATACAGTGAAATAATAACACTAGGCAAGTCAGTGATAATCCAAGGCAACTGTAATAGCATAAAGCATTTTGAGAATGACTTGACTGTTTATAACGTGCTCTCTTTAAACTGAGCTGAGGAAGCACCCAAATTACACGCGTCTTTATTTCTACTCAGGGTTGATTTATAGTGTTATATTGTGTTTGTATATTTCTAGGACTCTAGTGATGGAAATTAGAAGCCACAAAGCCGCTGATATTGTTTCCTATATAAAGAGTCTACAGAAAAAACAAACACCAGAAAAAGAATTCAGGGTAGATTTCAAAACTTTTATCACTTTCAATTGTTTGTTTCATAATTCCAATTGTTACTTGTTTACTTTTTCCTTTTGAACTCAGTTGAAGTTGTATTTCTTTCTAATCATAATTTGTTTGTAGAAAAATACTGTCTGATAATTGAAAATTATAACAATGTCGAGGTACCTATATGTAATTTTATATAAAGTAAGAATTAGTTTATATCTTTTTGGTGTTTCTTTTTCATGTTTTTCTGAAAGGAAAAGGTAATGAAACATATGGACAAAGACGTGTTTTATAAACTTTATCCTCTGATGCAAGCTATGAAATGCCTCGAGGACGGGCGGAGGGACCTACAAGAACTAAGATCATCCGGGGAATTCTCCATGAGTACAACAATACCGATCTCTACACAGGACTTGTCAGACTAACAACGGGCTAAAGTCACTTGTACCACAATGCTTATCTCTCATATAGTCATGTATATACGAAAACTGACAACGTATAAAAATCACCTCAATGGGCCAGTACCTTGACAGACATTTACTTTGTTTTACTGTAGTCTTATGATTGGACTTTTAAATTGTTGTTCTATGATAATTTACATGTCACACTGACTTACTTTGAATTTTTAATCTCATTTTTTTTTTTAGATTCCTCTCAAGTAAAATATAAATAATTTTACTTGTTACGGTTAATACAGCATTTTAATGACAAAGTAATAAAAACTATCATTGTTTTAAAGCTATTTTTTTCCGAGATAACTACTAAACTAATCATTTGAAAGAGATAAGATTCAGCTACATTACCGTCCAATTTTGCAATGCATTTTCTCAGTCAAAATTTTAAAAACTTGTATATAAAGGTGTATAGTAATGCATTTATTAAATTTGCTGTGATATACATGTATTTACCTCATAGAAGTGTGCTTGAGTCGGAATAATACATGTATAAACGTGGAATTATGTAATTCAATTTTTAAAAAAAATGTGCAATAGTATCTTTTTAGAGGAAAACTTTACAAATGCGTCTTGCTATAGAATTAGATTTTTCATTCAATACTCAATCTTCGTTGTGATAACATTATTGTGTATACCGGTATTTAATTTGATGTCATACAGATAATAAAATGTAAATATTTCATGATGATATATGTAACTATGACTAGTCTGAATCTACTTTCATTTGTCTTTTTGTCATTTTACTTTGAGCATGACATTCATTGATTTGATTTATAATAATTCGCCCCTACCTGCTGTTTCCTGTCTTTAATTCTCTTGTTGTGGCATTATTAATGATTTTGATACGTTTTTAAAATTATTTCTCACTGTAATTGAAAAAGAAAACTGATGGGTTTAAGTACATTATAAAGTACCAGTGTACAAGAATTTTAAATTTATATTGTGAGTATACATTTATGAACAATTATAAACCTGTACATGCACGAATGAAGAAAGGTATGAATCGGTTTGTCAAATGTTAAGCATTTAATAAAATAAAACAATTATCATTAAAAAGTTTTTAAAAAATCATTTTTAAAAATGTATTGATAAATTCTTTTAAAACAATATGAGCTGCAACTTTAATGTCAAAATTTTCTGTTGTAAAATTGTCATTAACTATTTCAAGCACAGAGAAATAGAACATTTACCTAATTATTGCTCGAATTTCTTATTGACAATATCTTTGTACTATTCAAAGGTCAGATCTTCCAATAATTTGTCAGGATTCCCATTGATGATAATAGCCTCCTCATTTATTAGCAAGCAAATCTGTTTCTGGTTTCATAAGGTTAAACTTTATCGAAAAACTTTTGAATAAAATACCTGCGATGGCCATCAACTCGACATTTAGATATATCGACGGCGTATTATCAACAAATTATAGTTACTTCCATAATTATTTATGTATATTCGATATAACCTATTGAATCAAACATGCAATAGACTCTCATGCATCCGTTTCATTTCTGGATATTTTACTAGAAAATACGTTAATAGTAACCAAATAGCGCATGCGCAGTAGTATATCATGTAAATAAGCCAGCTAAAAATATCGCTGGTTAAGGGGAAATCCCCACATCAGAAAATGGGCAACATACATTATGTAAATCATTTATTAACATAAATTGTTTAAACGTGATGATTTTTCTAGGTTTTATGCGTATGCGTGTCTTGAATTACATGTATAACATGTAGTTTTTTTTTTTGAGGAAGTAGTTAATGTTTCAGTGTTGAAGAGTATGATTTCTCTCTAGAGCTATAGCCAGACATATACATGTATAACCCCCTTTTTCATTCAGAGGAGATTTTTTTTGTTTTATCATCAATGCTCAAATCATAACGAAAATATTTTGGCTAAAAGTTGATACATGTGTCTTTTATTAATTTTCAATCTGAAGTTTAAAATGATTACATAAATGTAATCATTTTCAACTTCAGATTGAAAATTAATAAAAGACACATGTATGAAAATTAAGTGATCATCTAATAGAAATTTACACGAGTGCTTTCGATGCAACAATTGTCAAAATTAGTACAAATTCTTACAATTTTTAGTTCATATCATTAAGTCTTTATCCAAAATCGTAAAATAATCACTCAAGAATTCGTAAGATTTGCTATTTAACACCTATTCTGAGCGCATTGGTATCTTTACTTGAGGAATTTAAAAATGTTTATCAGGTCACAGTCATTGATTCTATGATTTGTTTGCCCTTTCCTGGCCCAGTATTTTATCTAAAGATGGTTCCTTTTTTCACAAATTGTATGCGAGGAAATTATCTATGTTATTGATACCATTTTGTGAATATTTCAATCGAATAGTTGAAACTAGTAAAAAAAAACAACACAAGAAGCGCTGATTTTTCCAAGCACATGCAAGCATATATAAGTATGTACCGGTCAATAAAATGGTGTTATATTGGATTTAACTCTATACTTATAAGGGGAAATTAAAGTTGACAGACGTAAACTACTCAAAAATTTAATTTGTTGGTAAATAAATCTAGATTCATACTTGCTTGTAAACTGAATTATATTAATTTATTCTGGTTTTGGAAAATTTGAAATAGTTTGTAAATTGGTATTTTAGAAATGTATTTATTATATATTGACTATCTAGCATCAGTAGTCTTTTTTTGAAAAATCAATGATTATGCATATGCACTCTCTTCCGCAATCTGAATGAATATTTTAATTATACAGACCTTTTTGAACATTGAAATTTAAAATTACCTTATTTAAAGAACCGACCTATTGAGTTTGTTTCAAATTAAATAGAGCGATTTAAGGTATTGATCGATGTTTATATCGGATATGGAGTGCAGCCAAATATGTAAAACATGATTTTACAGTGAACAACAGAGATATTGGACGAATTACAAACGAAGACAACGCCTATACAATAAAATGTCGACCTTAAACGAATACGATGTTCTAGAAGAAATTGGAAAAGGGACTTACGGTCTTGTTTACAAAGCTCGACTTAAAAGAGGAGATCGAAATGAGGCAAGTAATGTGCTATAACTTATAATGACGCCATTTGCAGTTCTAAAAGTGTGTAAATCGGAACTAGGGTACAAATTCCCTGCAGCCAAAAATAGAATAAAAAGTTTGTGAAGGGGCATTTAAAAATACACATTGTCCATATTGATCTTTTTTGTTTGTTTTTACCCAAAAAGTATTTTCAAAATATGCTAGCATTATGTGGGCTCATAGAGTAGATTAACACTATGTCTTGTAAATAAATTGTTACGATTCCTTTTTACGGGTAATGTTGTAAATACCGGTATAAAAATGTATATTCCGTTTCAATGATTTATTGTTTATTATTTATCGTTTATTGTCAATTATTATCTTTTTTATTTATTCAATAATCTATTAATAATTACAATGTAATTAGATTAATTAAACAAAGTTATGAATTCTACAAGTGGTAATAAAACTTTGATTATACTGATCTTATTAAAGATGTTAATTAAAGCCCTGCAAAAAATAAAGGATAGAAGATTTTTTTTCTAATTTTGTGCTGTAAATAAAATGTTTGAGATAAATTTTTTAAAGTATGCCAAAAGAAATAAAATTAGAGGGATGAATTTGAAATATACTTTATGGTTTCATTTACTTTAACTACAGTTAATATATCAGCTTTGGTTTATTCCTCTGTTGTTTTTTTTCATTGTCAACAATATTTCTTCATACATGTACTCGTATACATGTAAATATACAAAAATCAATCAATTACAGATATTTGCTATCAAGAAAATAGACTTATTCAAGGCAAATTCCAAAGAGCTGGAACAACTTCGGAGAGAGGAAGACATTTTAAAACTGTTATGTGACCAAAGGCATGAAAATATAGTACGATACATTACATCTTTCAATGTAAACAGGGCTCTATATATAGTAACCGAGTACTGCTCAGGTGGGTCCTTGTACCATTATCTTCGTGAACGGAAAACCGGTCTAGAGGAGTGCGAGTTTAAAATTTACCTCGAACAGATTCTAAATGGAGTTAAGGTATACAGCTATTTTATGTTTATTATTTACTTTTTTTCTAGAAGAAATATGAATTTATTTCAAATTTTAATTAGATAATATTGAACAGAACAAATATAACTCGAAAATGATTAAAATTTTCACTCTAGAAAAGTTTTACTTAGTAATAAATTACTTAAATTTGTGTATGTAAGTAATAAAATATTACTTGGTTTTTACTTACAGTTTACCACTAATTACTAGCTATTACTAAAATATTTTTAAATTGCTATATTTAATTGCTTTACTGAAAACAATAAATTATTTACTGCATCAAGGAGGATTCAGAGCAGCTGCAGAACAAATTACTTAAATCTGGTAGTCTAATCACTATATATAAACTATAATGAAAAAAAATAAAGATATCAGAATTTTATTTTAATTCCTATATATAACTAATATTTTTTTGCCCCCGTAAACGAAGTTTCGGGGGTATATAGTTTTTGTCGTGTCCATCTGTCTGTCTCTCTGTCTGTCCGTTTCTCTGTTTGTCTGTTTGTCCGCAAAAACTTTAACCTTGCCCATAACTTTTGATTTAGCGGAGCTATGACTTGCATATTTCACATGTCCATTCCTTTTGACAAGACCTATCTTTGAGCATTGCCAAATTTGACCTTGACCTTGGAGTTTGACCCACTTTTACAAATTCCAAACTTTTTCTTTAGCCATATCTTTTTAACAGTAAATACCAGGACATTAATACTTCACATATATACTCTTTGTTGAAAGACCTTTCATTGGATACCAACAACCATGACCATTTGACCTTGACCTTGGAGATTTCAATCCTTGAGAAAAAACTTTAACCTTGGCCATTACTTTTGAACGATAAGGGATAGGACTTTCATACTTACATATATGTAATTCCTGTGAGAAGACCATTCATTAGATACCAAGAACTTTGACCCTTTGACATTGACCTTGGAGTTTGACCCACTTTTAAAAAGCAAACCTTGACTTTAACTTTACAAAGGTTGGGGTTAGTGCATTCATACTTTACATATTTCATCCTTGTGACAACATCATTCTTTGGGTACCACCAAATCTGACCCTTTGTCCTTGACCTTGGAGTTTGATCTACATTTCAAAGTTGGTAAACTTGACCATAACTTCTGAAGGGTTGGGGCTAGTGCTTTCACATTTCAGATATGTATTTTTTGTGGCCGGACCTTTCAATAACATTGACCATTTGACCTTGACCTTTGAGATATCAAGAAATACCAATATATTGAATTTGCATATAAGAAAAGTTAAACCTTTGCTATGTTGCCATATGGGGGGCATTAGTGTTTCACAAACACATCTTGTTTAAATTGTATTCAATTGATTTACTTAAAACAATAATTTATTTACTGAATCAAGGAGAATTCAGAGCAGTTGCAATACAAATAATTACTTAAAAATGGTAGTCTAATTACTATCAGGATTGAATTCTTAAATTGTCATGTTAATTGTCTGTGAGGAGGAGTTATCTTTCTTCCGAATATTCCTTCATGTAAAAAAAAAAGTTATACTAATTAAAATGCTGTATTAAGTACTTGAAACTTTAAACCATTTTTAAAATGGTCCTTAAAAATATACAAATTATTCAATTAAGAAGGCTTTTGATGTTGGAATTAAATGTTTTATTGCTAAATATAATAAAACAATTACAAAGAAATAATGTCGATTTTAGTAAATATGATAAGTATTTCATTTACTTTGTATTCTCCTAAGTAATAATATTCTAGATTTTAATTAATTTCAGAATTACATTTACTTAGTAATATTTCATAAAACCTAGTAATTAGAAAGCATATTATCTCCAAATTAAGTAATAATGATTTATTAAAATGAGTATTTCACTTACTAAGTAATATAATTCCTATTAAGTATTGATACTTAGTAAATCATTTTATAAGTAAATGAATTCATCCTTATTACTAATTATGTTTTCAATTACTAACAATGATAGTCATTTACTTGCTATTCTGACTACATGGATTACTAATAATTACTAGTTTTTCTTAATTTGATATCTTATTTCAAAAGCAACAAGTAAAACTTATTTTAGAGTGTTTGTACATCTTTTTCAGTATCTTCATTCTCAAAAAATTACCCACAGAGATTTGAAAACAAAAAACATTCTTATAACATCTGACAGCAGGATAAAAATAGCCGACTTTGGAGTAGCCAAGTAAGTAGAAGAGGGTTAAGGAACAAAAATACTAAATAGAGTATACATTATAGAGAAAGACTTAAAGTAGTTACTTTTGCAGTTTACCAATATTAAATATATAGTACTCTTGTCATTTTAAGTAACAGAAAATTTCATTAAGTAATATGTGCCACAGGTCATGTATGTGCATGCGTGGTATTGAACGGAAATTATTTTTATGTCATATTCATAACAACCCTACATATAAAATAATGGGAACTTCATTCATACACTCTCTTTAATTGGAACACAGCCTGAAATTCTGTTGTGAATTTGCTTTGATAATTTTAGAATAGTTGATACCTGTAGCAAAGCTGCAAATACCGTCACTGTGGGGACGCCACACTACTTCGCTCCAGAGATGTCTGACGGAAAAGGTACATATGATGAAAAGGTACAGTTTCTCCTTTAGTATTTCATTGACAGAATAACATATGAATTTTCAATTATTTAAAACAGTATGCTTGAAATACCTGTAGATTGATATATGGGCCATCGGTTGCGACTGCTATGAAATGGGTAGCTCAAAGTACGCCTTTGACGGTAAAACTTCACAGGATCTGAAGGAATCCATTTGTAAAAATAAGGTTAGAAATACATTTCGGTGAAAAAAAAAAATAATGAAAGAATTACAAATTACAGAGTGTACTTATCAACAACAGTAACTATAGGCACAAATTAAAAATATCAAACACGGATTAACAGAATACAGTCTTCTGTTGTTAAAAAATAATAGGATTTTTTTCATATTGGATAACAGCAGTCTGATTTCTTACAGTTACCTGACATGAACAATCTTCGATTTTGCGATGACATTCAGAAACTGATTATCAGAATGCTGGCTACGAATCCCTGTGACCGCCCAGACGCCGAGTCTCTGTATAACGAGGTGTCACGTCATCACTGCCAGAACTTAGATCCGCCAGCCAGACACCACAAACAGACTCAGGTATTCTCTCACTCTACAACGATACCAGGGCATGAGGGAAAGAACGTGTTTCTGAGTAGCCAGAGTACTGATGTGTCAACAATACCGCGAGGTATGGAAAAAATAGCTGCCAGACACATCATTTAGCTTTAAACATGCATACAACTTGCTTTCAATATAATTATTAAGTCTTACAATATTTTATGATAGTACGGTCTCCTTTCTTTATATGTTATACACATTTTATATTTTTATAGGACTCGCTTTTAGTCTCTTAATTTAAATGCAATTCGTTATCTTCTTCAATAATTTGCAAATCTTCTCCAGTTACAAAAAATGTATACATAACTGTATTTCTATTGCACTATAAAAACAACATGCAAAACAACTAATTTCTTTCTTAATTATTATTTAGCTTTTCATAAACTTAAGATTCTAGTAGTACTTGATAGTTTTAAAATCGTAATTATTTATTTACACTAATACTTTTTTTATTTCCTCCAAATTAACATACTAAGTCGCTTGTGGAGTATATTGATTTGTATAATCACTTTTATTGCTTGCTAGAAGAAGGCAAAGAACCATCGCAAAACACAGATTCTTTTGAAGAAAATCAGAAAGGAGAATTTGTTTCTATTGAAGGTAGATGTCTGTTGTTGCACTTTTAAAAGACCTGACTGTCTCAAGACTTGATTCTATCAGAGTAATAATAGGTTTTTTTTATTCTTTGCGCTCTGCGATTTATTTGTGGTTAAGCTCATTTATTCTTGATAAAATTATTTGTGGTTAAGCTCGTTTACTCTAGATATAATTTTTTGTGATTAAGCTCCTTTGTTCTCGATAAAAACAAGTGACAAATGCGACATATTATCTTAATTTTGCTTTAAAATGAAGTCTCAGTAATCGGATAACAATATTAAAAGAAATTTTGTATTCTTTTGAAATATAAATTAATAAACCCAGCAATTTGTCATCACAACAACTTATAAGTCAATGAATTAGTCCACAATAAAGTTTAGATTATGATTAGTAGGTTCAATGTCAACAGCTTCAATGCCGCCAAAAGGCGGAGAGCAAAATACGGATTCATTTGACCAACTCAGGAAAACGTCATCTTCTTCCCTCGAAGGTTTGATTTCTTATGTCTTCCAGTCTTTGAAACAATAAATTATAATTATTCCTTATTCATTATCGCGTTATATCGGCAAGAAATGTGTTTCGTCTGCTATATATTTCTCTCATTTTATTTATATTTTACAGATTCGTGTAAGAGTACATCATCTAGTCGATCTGGTAATAACTTTAAAAGAAAAACTAGAATTTAAAAACAAATGCAATTAAAGTCATACCACCATTTAAAAACATAAGTTTATATCATTTTTGTAGACTCTCAAGATGATTTCGTTAAAAAAAAGAAAAAAAAAGCAGACAGAAAAAACTAATTTCTTTTTTAATTATTATTTTGAACATTCTAATAATCGTAGGATTTGCTTTTCATATACTTTGTTACGATACTAGCACTTAATAGTTTTAAAAAATTACAACTGTATTACTTATCCACACTTAGTCTAATACTTCTGTTTTTTCCTCTTAATTAGTATACTAAGAAATCAAATTTATCTTTGCTTACATAGATGCTTGTGCAGTATATTAATTTGTAAATCCACTTTTATTGCTTGCCAGAAGAAGGCAAGGAACCATCGCAAAATACAGATTCTTGTAAAGAAAAACAGAAAGGAGAATTAGTTTCTATCGAAGGTAGTTGTCTGTCGTTCGTTGCTTCATTTGCAGTTAATCTAGGACCTAACTGTCTCAAGACTTTCAGATTCTATCAGAGTTATTTTTTTCATTTCTATGCGCTCTGCAATTTATTTGTGGTTAAGCTCTTTTGTCTAGATAAATTCATTTGTGGTTAAGCTCGTTCGTCTAGATAAATTCATTTGTGGTTAAGATCGTTTGTCTAGTTAATTCATTTGTGGTTAAGCTCGTTTGTTCTAGAAGAAAACAAGTAATAAATGCGACATATTACGTATCTTTTGCTTTAAAAAATGAAGTTTCGGTAATCGGAGAACAATATTTAATAAAAAATTGTGATTCCTTAAATGTATAATTAAATTTAAAAAACTGCCATTTGTCATCAAAACAACTTATAAGTCAATGAATTACTCCACAATAAGCTTTAAATTATGATTGGTAGGTTCAATGTCAACAGCTTCAATGCCGCCAAAAGGCGGAGAGCAAAATACGGATTCGTTTGACCAACTCAGGAAAATGTCATCTTCTTCCCTCGAAGGTTTGATTTCTTATGTCGTCCAATCTTGAAAATTATTGATTAAGAAAATTCAATATCTGAATCATGATTGCGTTAGAATGGTTAACAATTAGTATGAAGATCATTTCGTGGTTTATATTTTTTAAACTTATTTTTTGCAGATTCGTTTAAAAGTACCTCATCTAGTCGAACTGGTAATATCCTTTTGGTAAAATAAATCTAATTTTTGGAAGACAATGTCAAGAGTTATTAAAAATAAAAGCAACGTTTTTTTTTTTTGGCAAAAACTCATTCAAATAAACCTATACCATTCATACGTCTATATTTTTTGTAGACTCTCAAGATGATTTCGTCACTCTGTATAGAAAGTCAGTGGATAGATTTGACAAGTAAATATATACCTTCATTTTTTTTAATTTTGGTTTTTATTATTTTTTTTTTTTATTTGGGGGGGGGGGGGGGGGTTTCCATGTTTTGACTAAGAATGGGGAATGTTAATATCGGTCTGTCTGTCCGTCTTTCTTTCTGTCTGTCTGTAGCACGATATATCGAGAAAATCCCTACATGTATGCAAACTTCCAATAGTCTTCTGCGTGGTTTAATTGGTACATGTACATACGAACTCTGGTGGAAGTTTGGCTCCCTATGGCCTAAGGAAGGCCCGTATTGATTTTGACGTCAGAGAGTCAAGGTCGTAAATATTACATTCTGTCTTTGTGTAAAACTTCCATAACCGGGCGACAACTCAAGAAGAATTTTAGCTTTTTGCGATGAAATTTTATCCCATAACTCCATGTGGTCCCACCTGCCCCTCAAGTGTGCCGATCCAGCTTGTACACATATACTACTACATTACTTGCAAAGATAAGATATTCTAAGTTTTATTTTGTTATTTTTTTAAAGAAAACTTTACGACACATTATGCCGTGCTGGGGGGCGAGACATTTACCGTAAACTCGGACAATTATTGGAGGAGTGTTATACTGTGGATTTTGAAGTAAGTCTACGATTATGCAGTGTATTTGATTTAAACAAAATTTATTCAGAATACTGAATAGATTATTTCTGAATAGATTTGGTAGCAGGCTAACAATGCCTTTATATAAAATTACCTCTACACCTTTTTTACTTCAAGAAATATACAAGTTTTTTGTACTGATACTTTTCTACCAGCAAATTTTCTTACGTCAGAAAGTCAGTTCGAGTTAAAATGTTCTTAAAGAGAGATAATAGCGTAACGGTACTTAAAAAGATACTCAATAAAAAGATATGTTATTGCACACTTAGTAACTAATAATAATAAATTAATTTATCATCTGAAATTTGTAACAAATTGTCCATTCATGATTTGTAAATAAAATTTTCAATACTTTAAAATTTCCATTTAAATTATAACAAGTCTCAAAACATAGGTAATCAGAGATTACAGAGCTCACCTCAACGTGTGTTGTCTTTAAGTAAGGCAAATTAAGTCACACAATTAACCAACAAAAAGTGTACATCCAAAAATGCAAAATTTATGCAAATTTGATACTTTGGAATAGACCTATATAAACACTAAAAACTAGTTCATCATGAAAATGTAATTAAAATCCAGCATCTGAAGCAAGATTGAGAGTTTTCATCCCTTGATGCATCATTTGTGCAACTGGTTTATATAAGCCTAATAGTTTCTTGGTGATAGACTTGCACCCATAACTTTTACGAGGTCTATTATCTGGAAAATGTATGTCGAATTCAGCATCTGGAGCAAGTCCATTAGTGTGCATCCTAAGATGCATCATCCATGCAAGTTTGGTCAACATAGGGCTTAAAGTTACTTGCAAATGAAACCTGTATAAAAAAATTAACCTTTCCACTAATCCAGAAAATGTAGGTCAGATTCAGCATCCGAAGCCAGCCTAGTAGAATGCACCCTTAGATGTACCATCCATGCAAGTTTGGTCATTATAGAGCTCAAAGTTACTTGAAAATGAATCCTGTACCATAAACTTTAACCTGTTTACTCGTCCAGAAAATGTAGGTCAGATTCAGCATCCGAAGCAAGTTTGGTAGTATGCATCCATGCAATTTAGTCGTTATAGGGTTCATAGTACTGTACCTTGGAAATGAAACCTGCATCCAAAATTTTTACCTGTTCACTCAACCGGAAAATGTAGGTCAGATTCAGCATCTGAAGCAGGTCTTGTAATATGCATCCTAAGATGTACCATCCATGAAAGTTGGTCATTATATGTCTCATAGTAGCTTGGAAATGAAACCTGCACCAAAAACTTTAACCTGTTCACTCAACCGGAAAATGTAGGTCAGATTCAGCATCCGAAGCAAGTCTAGTAGATTACATCCTAAGATGTACCATCCATGCAAGTTTGGTCATTATAGGGCTCAACGTATCTTCAAAATGAAACCATCACCAAAAACTTTAACCTGTTCACTCAACCGGAAAATGTAGGTCAGATTCAGCATCCGAAGCAAGTCTAGTAGATTACATCCTAAGATGTACCATCCATGCAAGTTTGGTCATTATAGGGCTCAAAGTATCTTCAAAATGAAACCATCACCAAAAACTTTAACCTGTTCACTCAACCGGAAAATGTAGGTCAGATTCAGCATCCGAAGCAAGGCTGGTAGTATGCATCCTAAGATGTATCATCCATGTAAGTATGGTCATTATATGTCTCATAGTAACTTGGAAATGAAACCTGCACCAAAAACTTTAACCTGTTCACTCAACCGGAAAATGTAGGTCAGATTCAGCATCCGAAGCAAGTCTAGTAGAATACATCCTAAGATGTACCATCCATGCAAGTTTGGTCATTATAGGGCTCAAAGTATCTTCAAAATGAAACCATCACCAAAAACTTTAACCTGTTCACTCAACCGGAAAATGTAGGTCAGATTCAGCATCCGAAGCAAGTCTAGTAGATTACATCCTAAGATGTACCATCCATGCAAGTTTGGTCATTATAGGGCTCAAAGTATCTTCAAAATGAAACCATCACCAAAAACTTTAACCTGTTCACTCAACCGGAAAATGTAGGTCAGATTCAGCATCCGAAGCAAGGCTGGTAGTATGCATCCTAAGATGTATCATCCATGTAAGTTTGGTCAACATATGGATTATAGTTACTCGGAAATGAGTCCTACACCAAAAACTGCACCAAAAATGTTAACCTGCACCAAAAACATTAACCTGGTCATTCCTTTGCTGAAATTGCAGCATCTGAAACTTTGACTGGTACAATGAAACACACTAGCAACATCTTCCATGCATGTCTAATCAATATAGGACATAGAAGTACTTAAAAAGAAAACTGCTCCAAAAAACTTAACCTTAACCCGGAACGCCAACGCCGACGCCGACACCGACGCCGACGCCGAGGGTATCACATAAGCTCCCCCCAACTTCGTTGAGGTGAGCTAAAAAGTTATAAAAGCATGTATAAACATGTCCATAAATTAACTATGATAAATATATAGATAAATTAAAACTTTTCTAACCCGCACATCACTGATCACATTACAACATTTCGTAATACATGTGCACAACATTCGGATTGGACAGGTTTTACTACAACTGTATTTTCAGAAGCACAAATTACGTATCTCTAACTTCTAAATGGAAGTCTGACTATAAATTTCCAATTAACAAGCTTAAAATAGGTTTGTGTGTGTATGTTTTGGGACATACGGAGTTGAAAATTTTAAATTCTTTGGTTTTTCGGCTTTCTGCCAAAACCTGTAAAAACTCGACCAATTTTCTTATCAATTCATCTTATTTTAATATATTTGATTTCAGGAAAAAGTCAGCAGGTTGCTTGGGGAGAGATACGCAAGTTTGCAGACCATGGTGATGACTTTGAAGAATTTAGAGGACGGACTTAAAAAATACTCCAAGAACTAATAACTGAACAATTTTGACATTCCAATATGAATTAGATAAAAATTCTTTGCAATAGAGTAAGTGGATTTTAGTAATAAAATCAGAGGATCTGATGAAGAAAAGCGAAATGTGTGTGTGAACACTGGCACAGAAAAAAATATATAGAAGATAAATTACAGACTGAGGTGAACAAAGACTGAAAAACGTCACCCTGAGCGTGAAAATCCAATGAAGACAAGTCATATAAATTCTTTTAAAATCAAAATTTTCCTTACAGGATATTTAAGGACTAACTACATGTAGTATTCAGCAAGAACATGCCGCAGATTGAAAAATGCATGACGTCCATGGTTTTTATGTAGCCACATGCTGAAAGTTTTTTTCTTGTAGCAGTCGAATTTTCGGTGACAAAAAAGAAAGATAGTATGACATATCCATATTGAAGAATAGTTATCAACATTTCATGTTTACAGTTATAATTCATAGAGAACAGGACATCATTCACATACAGTTGCAGTGACTACCAAGGTACTGCACTGCTTCTGGCAAAAAAAGTGTATAAGCCATAAAAAAATACTCAAGAAAAACTGTTTACGGTAGTAAACCATGTAGTTTACAATAGTTATCGATAGGAAACTATGGCAGCATTGCATTAAACCTCATTTGCATCATTAATGTTTGCTGTACAGCCTCTGCATACTTACCGCAAACTTCTCCATGTTCTCCAGGACATCAAGCTTTGCATATTAAGCTGTCATGGATTCTTCAGCTGACATTAATGCAGGAAGTTGCAACAATGCTTGCAGAAGACTTGCAGAAAAATCTCCCCGAGTGACATAATTTTAAGATCTTTCCCTTTTTCAAAACTAAGTAATACTTACTTGATATCATGGGCTGTATGACATTTTATAATAGTTTAAATAAACAAATCATAAAAAAAAACTTTTATTTTGATAGTAATTAAAGTTTAACACATATACATTTTAGTAAAGAACATCATAACTGCTAGAGATATAACAATTTTGGCACAGACTGTGTACATCAGTGGAGGCTTATGGTATTATAAGCCAGGTTTATGTTGGAAAGACGAGTCTATTCGGATTAGACCTATCCGCCATTATTGTTTCTAAAATTATGTTGCTACAATTTGATTGGTTGTTTTTTATAGTGGGGATTCAGCTACAAGCAGTGTGCTAAGTTTGTAAAGAAATTGTATCGTAATTTATTTGGCCCGTTTTCACGGACTTACAATTAATATACCTAATAATCAGCGTACGCTACCTAAATGTCTTGATATGTGTCTTGTGAATTTGTGATCGTGAAACATTTACAGAGCAATAAGTTTGTGGACACTACATCTCGGACGCTGAGGATCAAGTTACAATCATGGCCGACCGCGCTCGAAGTCGTAGACGTCCTACCCCATCTAATCGCTGGGATGAGAGCAATACAAACAATTGGACAACCCAACGATACATCGAGGAACTGGCAAAGCTGAATATTCGTGTTCCTGCCAACATTGGGAAAGTCGTGATGAAAAAACTTTATCTGGAGAATCGAGGAATACCCCCCGCAAACGCGGATGCCCGGATAAACGTTGAATCGAGAAAAGAGGATGTCGCAAATGCCGTGATTGTGCCTCCGAGTACGGAACCATCTCCAGAGAATACTAACAGAACTGAAACGACCAGAACAACAACTTCAAGCGAAACACCATCGGGGGAAGAATCGAGATCTAGCGCATCAACCAATGTTGCATCGGGATCGAGAGCCAATTTATCCAATATGGCGGCCCCCTCGAATAACGACATAATCTGCAGCATGTTGAACACCATGCAGAGCATGCAACAGACAGTACTCGGACTTCAAAACACAGTCATGAGCTTGGTGGCCGAAAAGAAGAACAACAAAACAGATGACCACTCATTGGACACAGCAATGGCGGCGATTCGTCAACAACCGGCCATGCAGGGTCCAACTACAGGTGGGTACACATTACCTAGAACTGAATTTGGCGTCCCATCAGACTCTCTCTCACACATAGACGTAGTCACTGAAAAGTTAAGAAAAAAGATTTGGGAGGGGAAAGATGTTAACATGGCCGAATTGCTAATCCCCAAGTATGATTCAGACAAACCCAACAACATCACCATCAACCTGATGAAACAAGAAGACCACAGACTACATAAGCAACTCTCTATCGCTGAATTTATTACAGCTTTCGGTAAATATAAGAGAGTTATGTGCCAACGATTTCCAGAGAGACGGGTTGAGTTGGATAGATATGAAGCTATCATAGTAGATATACACAACGTCTATGGTGGTAAATTTTACGACTACCACTGCCAATTCTCATCAAGAGCTGCAACTGCCCTCAGGGATAATGTTAAAATTGACTGGTCGGTGAAAGATCTTGGACTTCTCATGATGGTAGTGGGTAATGCTACTGCAAACAAATGCTCCACGTGTTCGTCAAGCATGCACCTCTCAGCGTTCTGTCCTCAAGTACAACAGAACATCATTCCGGTAATTGGCCAGTCCATGCGAAGTTATCCAACCAACAAAAACCAAACAACAACTGACAAATACGGTCGAACACGCACCATGGTGAACAACAAGGAGGTGTGCAACAATTTCAATGATAATAGATGTAAGAAAACGAACTGTCAGTTTGAGCACATATGTACAGTGTGTCATGAAAACGACCACGGAGCCTCCCTGTGTAAGAAAAGTCAAAGAAGTTCCATGGCATCCATACCAAGTAAAAAGTGACAAGTGAACTGTGAAAGAACTTCTTCTCAAGTCTCAATGCCTGTAAATTTGATTAACTTAAGATCAGAACTCTGTAATCATCCGGACAAAAGTTTCGTCGAATATTTGTGTGAAGGATTCATTCTAGGCTTTGACACTATGATTTCAAACACCAGAATAGAAACATTAGAATGTAAAAACTTATTATCAAGAAAGCAACCTGAAATTGTAGATAAACTTGTGAAAAGTGAACTCGAGAAAGGTTTCTTGACTGGACCTTTCGAAGAACCTCCATTTACCAACTATAGAGTGAGTCCAATTGGTATTACAATGGGAAAGTACTCTAAAAAACCTCGGTTAATAGTTGACTTATCTTCACCACATGACAGTGAACATGCAAGTGTTAACTCTCTGATCAACAAAGAGGAATGCTCCTTATCATATGTGAAGATAGATGATGCCATCAAAACAATTCAGAGCCTGGGGAAGGGAACTACCATGTGCAAGACCGATATATCAGACGCTTTTAAATTGGTACCAATCTTACCCTCTCAGTGGCATCTGTTCTGTATCAAATGGAAGTCAAACTATTATTATTACAACAAATTATCTTTTGGATGTCGTTCTAGCCCCAAGATCTTTGACAATCTATCCCAAGCAGTATGTTGGATTGCCACCAATAACTATGGTGTAAAGCATATACTCCACTTGTTAGACGATTTCATCACTTTTGAACGTCCAGAGGAAGACGGAGATACTAATATGAAACTTTTATTTCATATATTTACATCACTCAACATACCCATGGCGCTGCATAAAACTGAAGGCCCCACAACATGTTTAGAATACCTAGGTATAATTCTAGATTCTGAAGCTATGGAAGCCAGATTACCAGGTGACAAGCTGTCCAGAATTAAAGAGTTTCTTACCTCTTTTTATTCACGGAAAAGCTGTACAAAAAGGGAACTCTTACAGTTATTAGGCCACCTTAATTTTGCAAGCAGAGTTATACCACCGGGAAGATCCTTTGTGTCTCATCTTATCCGACTGTCTACAACAGTCAAAGAACTGCACCATCACATCACAATTAATGCAGCCTGCAGGGAAGACATAAGGATGTGGCTAACATTTCTGAATGGTTGGAATGGCATTAATTTGTTCTACAATGTGTCGCAGATCACATCAGAAGAACTCAATCTGTTTACAGATGCTTCAGCTACCTTGGGATATGGTGGATACTTCAGAGGACTATGGTTTTCTTCATCTTGGTCAGATGAACTTCTACCTTTATTAAAAAACTGGATGCAAGACGAAGATGGCGTATCCATAGCCTTCTACGAACTATACCCTATAGTTGTTGCTTCAATTCTATGGGGGGAAATGTGGAAAAAACAAAGGATAATTTTTATGTGTGACAATATAGCAACAGTTGCTATCCTTAACAAGGGTAGATCTAAATCTCATCATATTATGCCCCTGATGAGACGCCTTACTCTAATAGCAGCAAAATATAACTTCATTTTTTCTTCCGTACATGTACCGGGTCGAACAAATTTAATAGCAGATGCTCTCTCACGTTTGCAGATTCCCAAATTCCGCAGCCTAGCTCCTCAAGCACAAGATCAACCATGCAGTGTTCCCCATCCGAAGGAAGTGTTATGGACCTCAACGGCACCGTGAACATGTTATGGACCAATGCAGTGGCACCAAGCACTAGGTGCACATACCAAACAGCCTTTCATGTATATGTTAAATTCCTTTTGTTGTCAAATATTATTACAAATGCATGTATTTCTGAGGTTTCTGTATCTGAAGATTACTTAATTTCATTTGTAGCATACTGTGTTAGCAAACTTCAGATAAGCTACTCAACTATCAAGTTGTATTTGTGTGGAGTTAAATTCATGTGTTTGCAAAATAACATTACATATCCTGACAATACTCAGTTATGTAGACTTAAGGCTATTATGAATGGTGTTAAACGTGTACAATCACCATCCCGCAGTTTAAGGTATCCAGTCACATTCGACATTTTGAAAAGGGCTTGTATTTATTTAAGAAAGATAGACAATTTTTACAACTTGATGTTAGAAACTGTATGTACTGTTGCATTTTTTGGCTTTTTGAGATGTGGAGAGTTTACATGTAAAGAAGTATTTGATCCTTCTATACATCTTTGTATAAGTGATTTATCTATCTTTGAGGATTATGTACATTTACAACTAAAAATTTCTAAAACTGACCCATTCAGGAAAGGAGTCATCATTAAACGGTTTTCCACAGACAATATTATTTGTCCTTTCGCTGTATGTTGTAAATATTTAAAGGCAAGGTACAAATTGTCATGTTCTCCACAAAGTCCATTGTTTGTAAATCAAAATGGTGCTCCTTTGTCAAGAGTTGAATTTATTTCAGCCTTTAAGCATGTGTTAACTTGTATCGGTTGTGATGCCGATGTGTATAATGGACATTCTTTCCGAATCGGTGCGGCTACAACTGCAGCTTCAGTCCATGTGGAGGACCATATTATTAAAACATTAGGAAGATGGGCCTCCGACGCCTATTGTAGATACATTAGAACTCCAGTATCTGTGTTACGAGATGCTCAGCGTTCCTTAGTATGTACTGTAGATTCATAGACTGATCACACTTCTTTACTCACTACAGACTTGTAAAACAATTGTAAGCTTGTAACTTTACCTATAGATGTTATAATGTTAGCCTCATATATATTACTGTTTATCACACACAATTTGGCATCATTTTTGGGGCACTCAGTCTCATATCTATAATGTACATAAGTATTTACGTTATATCTATTCAACTGACTTTTGGCCACCATTTAATAAATTTTACGAATGCTGTAACAATTAATTAAATTCTCCCCAAAAATTCTGGTTTATTTTGACACTAATATCTTATTTTCCGGCTCTTGTGACTTCCCCATGTAGAAATCCAACGCAACACGACGATTTCTTAAAATGCTAATACTTCATAGGAAGTTACACCGAGTTAATAAGATATCAACATCCTTCCATGGTTCTCTTCCGGCTCTTGTAGCCCGGAACTGGTTTCTCACAGCCTTCCACAGCTGCTACACCGAGTTGAGATCCACGGGAAGTAGAGCCAGTCTCAAGACTCACTAGTCACACCGAGTTGACTGGTACAATTGAGCTGTACCTTTCTTCCGGCTCCTGTGACTGGACTGCTGTCTTGAACTGGTTGTTAGCTATTGGAATTAATGGCTGAGTCTGCCCCTACTGATGCCAAAGTAACGTGTATTTTTGTGTTACATTGTATTGTATATGTTTAATAGATGTGTTCTGGAATGTTGTAGTATAGATTAATAAACTTTGTACATTTATTCAGACTTCTACTAGTTTCTTTCCAACATAAATGGAGGCTTATGGTATTATAAGCCAGGTTTATGTTGGAAAGACGAGTCTATTCGGATTAGACCTATCCGCCATTATTGTTTCTAAAATTATGTTGCTACAATTTGATTGGTTGTTTTTTATAGTGGGGATTCAGCTACAAGCAGTGTGCTAAGTTTGTAAAGAAATTGTATCGTAACCGCCACCACCCCACCACTACTCCTTTAATTAGTTATCAGTGTGTTTACATCAAGTACTTAATATAATTCTTAGGGTAGATTCAGCCATGGCCTTCTGGCCACCATTTATTAAATTTTACGAATGCTGTAACAAGGCCACCATTTAATAAATTTTACGAATGCTGTAACAATTAATTAAATTCTCCCCAAAAATTCTGGTTTATTTTGACACTAATATCTTATTTTCCGGCTCTTGTGACTTCCCCATGTAGAAATCCAACGCAACACGACGATTTCTTAAAATGCTAATACTTCATAGGAAGTTACACCGAGTTAATAAGATATCAACATCCTTCCATGGTTCTCTTCCGGCTCTTGTAGCCCGGAACTGGTTTCTCACAGCCTTCCACAGCTGCTACACCGAGTTGAGATCCACGGGAAGTAGAGCCAGTCTCAAGACTCACTAGTCACACCGAGTTGACTGGTACAATTGAGCTGTACCTTTCTTCCGGCTCCTGTGACTGGACTGCTGTCTTGAACTGGTTGTTAGCTATTGGAATTAATGGCTGAGTCTGCCCCTACTGATGCCAAAGTAACGTGTATTTTTGTGTTACATTGTATTGTATATGTTTAATAGATGTGTTCTGGAATGTTGTAGTATAGATTAATAAACTTTGTACATTTATTCAGACTTCTACTAGTTTCTTTCCAACATAAAAAGCATACATGTATGACTGCATGAAAATGAGGAACGTACATTTCACAAAATAAGAATTTTCTTTTTTAAAAATCATAAGCTTAAAAATTCAATCTTCAAAAAAAAAAAAAAAAATTTCAGGTCTCATATGAAAATGTTAATTCACATGATTATAACACATTAAAGACAACAGGTGAACAAATGTGGAGTTAGAACACAATGTACATAGTATACACGTACTCCTGACAGATACAACATTAAAATTATTGGTTCATCATTAAAACAATTCCAATGCTATATGTAACTGCACCATTTTACATGTAAAGCAATTATGTAAAAGAAACAAAATTGGTTTAAGGTAAACTGTAAAGATACATAAATTTATAGCCCACTCAATGTTTCGTGCAGTATTCCTCTCTTTCAGATCATATAGAGCAATAACCACAATTCATGAAAATTTTGTCTCGCTTATCAAAAATCATTGACTACTGGTATCTCACAAAAATAAGGTGTCAAGAAAATTTAGTGATCTACGGTACATGCAAGTATCATTGATGTTCATAAATTTTGATCAAAAGTGTGTACATAAGTTTCATAATTTGGCTGATAAAAGGGAATATAAATGGTGCCAAAAAAATGATGAACACTAAAATAAGTATATTTACTATATTCAAATATATTGTAACTTGTTATATAGAAAAGTCTACAACCAATATTTAATATGGAGTTCTTCAATATGGAGTAAAAATTAGTTAAAATTGATGGAAAGTTTATCAAATAATCATGAAGTATTACTTCTACAAGTCTGGATACTTAAGATTATTCATAATCATACATAATCTAAGTATACATATATGAAAATTCATATATTTTTATAATATTCATAAATCATATCTAAATTTCGAGCTGCACAAATACTGGTAAATGATTTAATACAAGTGCAGAGTACATGCATTAAGATGATTGTCACTATCTTTGCTAGAGAAAACTCTCTAAATATTGTAACAAGGTAAGCATATATCAATAAAATTTATATAAAAATAGTCAAAAATTAATTTTTCTAAGCAAGAATGTTAATCAGAAAATATTCATGCACATGTGTAAACAGTTTTTAAAAAATAGCTTGTTAGGAAATAATTTTTACTTATAAACACTGGAAAGATAAGGAGACCCTCTGTTATCTGAACCTGATGAAATCACTTTGAAATCGTGGCTTGAGATCTGATCTCTAGCATACGGAGGTAGGAAAGTTGTTCCCTGTATTTTTTATACATGGTAGGACCAAGAATTTCAGTCAAGAGTGCCTAAAAGTAAAAGACAAAAAGACAGTCGAAAAGAAAGCATCATTACATTTATAAATCAACAACACACCTTTATCTGAAATGCTGATGAGAGTTATTTGTTAAATTGTATAGAACAAAAAAACATTAATCTTAAATTCTAAGATAGATTTTTATACATGTCACTTTATCCAATGAACATTGTACTTTCTAAATGTACTGATTTTTACATAAAACTTGGCATGAAAGAGTGCATTTTTACAATTTAGTTTTTATAAATGCTAGGAATCTGTCTTTGATTTATGGATAAATGGCTTCCAGAGAGAATGTGTTACCTTGACAATTTCTTCATCCTGCACATTGGCCATGACATCATAACATTTCTGGAGATTGTCTCTGCCAAGAGCATTAGCTACCTCACTTTAAATAAAGAAATAAAACTTATTTTGCACATCCTACCTTGTGCATGTATATTTTGAATTAAGGTAACTATATCCACCCTCGCAATTTTATGGGCTCAAAGTAGAAAAAGTTTTAATCATTAATAATTGCCAATTGTGTATAGGTTGCAATACTTTTTCACATGTTAGACATATGTTTTATAAACAGATGTATATGTCTGTAAAAAGTAAAAATTATGACACTGTAGATTGATTGATTGATTGATTTTTGCTGTTTTACGCCGAGTCGGCAATATTTCAGCCATATTTCGGCTGAAGAATTATGTAAAAATACATCATTCTGATGCTGAAAGTTCCAAAATAATTGAAACTTTATAAAAATGTTTGAATTATACATGTAAATATTTCAGAAAAAGTATTCTACTTTATCAAGAAGTACAATAAAAAAATTTCCTGTTTGAAGAAGATTTTTACCTTTGAACTTTGCTGATTTCTAGTACAACTGATTCAGTTTCCATGCTCCCTATCATGGCTGAAACATTAAAAAAAAATATCAGGTAAACATATTTTTAGCTGTATTTGTACATAACTACAATTCTGATACAGGTATATTCTGAAAGGAAGTTTTCTTGCAGGAGTGCATTAGATTTTCAGTGAAATCTCTGTAATTCAATCCATTCCTCTTAATATTTACATTAATACTGATGTGTCTTGTGTTTTGCTATTTTATATACATGTAAATTAAATTTTTACCAAATTATTTCAATTTTCCAAACTCTTTATCTTAGATAAATCTAAAAATAAGGTAATAACTTTAAAACCTCATTAAGCAATTTACTCAGCAAGTAACAGACCTGCATGCTTTCTCACTGTATTGTACCTTGTACATGTAATACACCTGGTAGGGATCCTAAGTTTTCTTTGTATTGTTTAAATATTTTTTATTAAATCAAGAATTTTAAAAATTTAAATAGTTATCAAGAAAAAAATGTCTGGGTTTTAGCTTTCTGATCACCCATTGTCTGTTGTCCATCTGACAAGCTGTCCTACTGGGCCATTTTTTTCTTCCAAACTTTGTACAAAGCATTCTTGGGTGAAAGGGAAGTTAAATTCTTAAAATGGAGGGGCAAGGCCCCTTACAAGTACATAATCAAGAAAAGGCAAAAAAAAAAAAAGATTGTATCATTAAAAAATCTTCTCCTCAAGAACCACTGGGCAAAAAAAGCTGAAACTTGCATGGAAGCATTCTGGGGTAGTGTAAATTCTAAATTATTCAATCATGACCCCAGGGGTAGGGTGGGACTACAATAGGGAATAAGTTTTACTTGAAATATAAAGAAAATAATCCCTTCTCAAAAGCCACTGGACCAGAAAAGCTGTTACCCCACCTCTGTCGATTTTTCTGTGAAATCCTGGCTTACGATTGGTTGAAGTCTGTCACGTGAAGGCGGTGTATTACTTATACCCGGTCAGTTGTAAATCTATACCCGGTCGATGTATTACGTCACAAACACAAACGTGACGTCATAATAGACACAGTTTAAGCGTGATAAGGCATTTAGCAGAGGAAAACCATTTATAAACTACAGATAAAACGTAAATGTTTCATCGGTGGGGTAAATTCGTTACATAGTCTTTTAGTGACAGGGTATGGGATGATAACTGGTTAGTAAATTTCATACCAGGTATATGAAATTTACTAACCAGGTATCATCCCATACCCTGTCACTAAAAGACTATGTAACTAATATTACTTATGTCGAAGCATCCTGGGGTAGTTTAAATTCTAAATTATTAAAATTGTGACCCCTTTGGGGGAGGATGGGACCACAATAGGTATTACATATAGGAAACTCTGGTGAAGGAGTTACTCAGGTGAGTGTTGTGGCCCATGAACCTCTTGTTAAGTTTTACGATGATCATCAATTTTGCTCATGTGTTTATGCATAAACCCATTTGGCATTCATGTAAATTATCAGGAGAGCAAATTAATTGATCAACAAACTGAAAAAATTGACAGGCATTCCTTATAAATAAACTTTATAAAGTAGTAGCAAAAATCATAATTTTTAAAGGTTATAGGTGTCCTTCTTATGTTGCCAATTTTTTGCTAAAAAGAGTTCAGGAAATTTACTTAAAAAGTTTTTCAAAGAAAATAAAATATAAATTTGCAAGGAGTGATTAATTTGGTCCAACCATGATGCATGAATCTGTACCAATTGATTCCTGAATTCAGCTATGTGTATTTTGTAGGCAAACAGTTTGTATCTTATAGATTTACTCCACCTTTATAGATAAAAAAAAGGGTGCTATAGATGTGTACATAAGACTTGTTGAAATTGATTCAGCTATATTATCAGAAAAAAGGCTGAAAAGTTTTGAGACATATCACACTAAAGGATAGGTGAGAACAAATAGCAATAGGTAATGGGGTAGAAACAGTCATTCAGTAGATTAAAAACTTATAGGAATATCTGAAATGAAACTCTTTTTGATTCTTGAAATTCAGGAAAAGGATAGGATGTGTATCTTTAAGTAAGTGCAAATACACATGAAATCCCACTCTGTGGGCATGTGCACAGTTTGAAAGAGTACAGTCGCATAACAGATACGGTGAGCTAAAACAGTCCTATGCTAATTAAGACTTACATGGAGCAACCATGTTCTTATGGTCTGCTAGAAAATAGAACAAAGATTCTGACAATTCTTTCTTCTGGTACATCTTTTTAAAAAAAATTCTTCGGCTTAATTAGAGCACATACCTATGGAACCTTACTAGAAGTTTATCTCTTAAAATAATTTTACTTTATTTTAATCATGTTTTAAAGAAATGTGCACTTATTTTATTTAAAGGCTAATTTTAGTTCTCTTTTTGGAAAAATCTCAGAAAAACAAAATTTTAACATCAAACACTTATGATTTACATGTATTTGTTGGAATTCTAAATTTGATTGATACTTGTACACATATTTGCAGATGATTTTCTTTTTTACTTTTTGAATTTTTAGTCTTTTTTTTTTTTCGATTCAGCATATTTTGCACAGCTAAATCTAAAAAATTTATTCATACAAGAATATGAATCTTATAAGATAGAAATATTGCTTAAAAATCCTTACCTACGATTCCCTTGATGCTTTCTGATGTCTTCCTTTTTTCAAATGGCACATATTTTTCTTTCACTGTGCTACAATATGTACAACATTGCTGGCATAAGATTCTGTATAATATTTCAGACTCAGTTTGTTCTGGAATCAACAATGTCTGTAATAATTTCTCAGAATCCATTTTTTGACATCATGTAACTTTTGAACATTAAATCAATGCATTAAATAAAAGCCTACTTTTCATCTCGTTCATCACTGCTGTTGGAAATACCTCTGTTGAAGGTCACTTGTTGACCTCTTGTAAAGAGTCTAACTGAACTTTCACCTTTAACCTGTAAGTACCAGTATATATAATTTATAAATGAAAGCAATATAAGCACCTAATATAATTCTACAAATGCATAACTCAGACAAAACAGCAGAGCTTGTAATATTTCGAGATGGGGTTATGAGCTTTAAGAAATTAACAAAAAATGTTATAATTATTCATGTAATTCTAAAAAGTATTCTATTTAAAGTGTATCTTGTAAATCGATTCTAGATTTAGTATATGGGAGATCTTACATTTTGTGTGATGGGAGATGTCTCCCCTGAAGTCATCCCTACCCCTGTGTCACTACCACTGCTTTCTATCCTCTTCTTCTCTGGAATATTTCATCAAGAAGAATTAAATTTAAAAAGTAAAGAATTATAAAGAGAGCTGTGAAAATGATTTTTTTAGATTAATCATAGTATAAAATTGTATAAAATTTTGTGTATTTGAAAAATTTTCATTAATTCTTTATACCAGTTTTTCTTTCAAATTAACAGAGCCTCATATAACTGAGGCCCCAATGCCTAAGATGTTATTGAATCTATTTATTCTTATCTGGTATATATAAACAAGGTTTCAATGTGGTTGCCAAAGCAAAATTAATACATGTATGACTTATCACAATCCTCTGAAAATGAAAAAAAAATTCAAAAATATATATCTTATATGTATGATATCTGTTTTCCCTAACAGTAAAGTTCAAAATTTATCTTTTATAAGTCATCATTATATAACAGTTAAACAAGGGTAGTGTACCATTATACATATATATAGCCTTAAATTTGAACTTGTGCTTCCTTATGCCTTTAACTTCTTCATAATTGTAAACTGCCTTTTAAAGTGCCAAATAAACACCACAAAAAAGATTATGCCCTTAGTATTGAATAGAATGTACTTCTATTAATGTGCTATACATGTACCTTTCAAAGCACAAAATTATATATACAGTGTATATATAAACATTTATAGTTACCGTTTGCTATTTTGGCAAGAATCTTTTTCTTTTTTCTGGTCTTTTGAGTACCCTGTCAATAGAAATGGCAAATGCAGTATGAATTAATTAGCATTTCCAATAATTCACTCATTCTACACAGTTATCCATTTTGGAAGTAATATTACACTGGTTCCTTACTTTTGTATCAGACAGAGATTCCTGTGAATTAGTTCTTGCCTCCTTTGGTCGAACAGGAAACGGCGTCCCATTATACTGGAATGGGGTCAACTGCTCCCTCATTCCTTGCACCATTAACTTGGCTGCCTTATCTGGATCAACAGTCATTTTCTCAACATGTTCCTTAACATCAAATACATCATCCCCCATAGTTGATTTATGTAACCCTGAATCTCCATTTTGGTGAACTCTGACATTTGTCCTTTGAACTCTATCAATAATGAGTGTACTATCCTCATCATCACTAAGAAGGTATCTGATTGGATCATCTTCATCATCCATTACACTGTTACTATGGTTACTGCACGTGCTCGATGCTGTATCATCACTCTGCTGTTTGACAGAACCCAGCTTTAGTTTTTTCATCTTCTCCATTGTTCGACTGACACTTTTTCTCTGATTTTCTCTGCGATGTGTGTCTATCTGTCGTTTGATGGCAAGCCATGCATGGGACATTGTCTGATATTTCTGAGCAGCCATTTGCCTCCTTCTCTCCCTGGCTGAGTGAGTCTTGCTCTGTCCCTCCTTCACCTTGGGTTGATCTTTTCTTTTCTGTCTGTCTGGAGAGTTACTTTTATGAATTGGCTGCAGGAAAAAAAGAAACATATGAACTATATTTACCACTTCAGAACATCGTTTTATATATTTCTCCACAGAAATCCTCTAACCTCTGCCAGCCTCTTTTTGATGTACACATTAGTAACAATGTCTTTGGCACTGGGTCTACAGTCTGGTTCCTCGTCTAACATGGAATACACAATGGACTTCAGACTCTCACTGTACTGACTCGGAAATGGTGGCCTCTGAAATTGTAATGTTTTCACTGCATTATCTACTACTTCTAGTAATTTAAAATCTGAAACAGCTAGGGTTGCAGATATTCGTAATAAAAGCTATAATAAACATAATACATTATCCTTGTTGATTGAAACTATACAATATAATTTTAAGACCTTAAATTTAATTTCAAAACAATGAAACTTTTGGGTAAAATAAATCTTACCTCATTGCTGCAGACCTTTTTACAGAGAGCAAACAAGCTGTCATTTCCAAAGGCTTTTTGCAAGGCAACCATTTCATAGCAACAACATCCAAAGCTCCATATATCAGACTGTAAAATTCAAAGCAGGTATTAAATAAATTTTTTAAAACTTAATAACATATCATATGCTGTGCATATAACTCTGTTGCTGAACATGCTCAATCCTTCTTTGCACAGAGGATTTATAAGGAGCAAACCCTTCTGTTCCCTATCCCCCCTCCCCCAATAATTGATTTTGAACCCCACCAATGCTATCACTATGGTTATACAAGATAAAAAACTTAGGTAATCAGAGATTACAGAGCTCACCTCAACGAATGTTGTCTTTAAGTAAGGCAAATTAAGTCACACAATTAACCAACAAAAAGTGTACATCCAAAAATGCAAAATTTATGCAATTTTGATACTTTGGAATAGACCTATATAAAAACTTAAAACTAGTTCTTCATCATGAAAATGTAATTAAAATCCAGCATCTGAAGCAAGATTGAGAGTTTTCATCCCATGCATCATTTGTGCAACTTTGGTTTATATAAGCCTTATAGTTTCTTGGTGATAGACCTGCACCCATAACTTTTACGAGGTCTATTATCTGGAAAATGTATGTCGAATTCAGCATCTGAAGCAAGTCCATTAGTGTGCATCCTAAGATGTATCATCCATGCAAGTTTGTTCAACATAGAGCTCAAAGTTACTTGGAAATGAAACCTGTATAAAAAACTAACCCTTTCACTAATCCGGAAAATGTAGGTTAGATTCAGCTTCTGAAGCCAGCCTAGTTGAATGCACCCTTAGATGTACCATCCATGCAAGTTTGGTCATTATAGGGCTCAAAGTTACTTGGAAATGAATCCTGCACCATAAACTTTAACCTGTTTACTCAACCGGAAAATGTAGGTCAGATTCAGCATCCGAAGCAAGTCTGGTAGTATGCATCCTAAGATGTACCATCCAGGCAAGTTTAGTCATTATAGGGTTCATAGTACCTTGGAAATGAAACCTGCACCAAAAATTTTAACCTGTTCACTCAACTGGAAAATGTAGGTCAGATTCAGCATCCGAAGCAAGTCTTGTAATATGCATCCTAAGATGTACCATCCATGCAAGTTTGGTCATTATATGTCTCACAGTAACTTGGAAATGAAACACCAAAATCTTTAACCTGTTCACTCAACCGGAAAATGTAGGTCAGATTCAGCATCCGAAGCAAGACTGGTAGTTTGCATCCTAAGATGTACCATCCATGCAAGTTTGGTCATTATATGTCTCATAGAAACTTGGAAATGAAACCTGCACCAAAAACTTTAACCTGTTCACTCAACTGGAAAATGTAGGTCAGATTCAGCATCCGAAGTAAGTCTAGTAGAATGCATCCTAAGATGTACCATCCATGCAAGTTTGGTCATTATAGGGCTCATAGTATCTTCGAAATGAAACCTGTACCAAAAACTTTAACCTGTTCACTCAACTGGAAAATGTAGGTCAAATTCAGCATCCGAAGCAAGTCTGGTAGTATGCATCCTAAGATGTACCATCCATGTAAGTTTGGTCAACATAGGGCTTATAGTTACTCGGAAATGAGACCTACACCAAAAACTGCACCAAAAATGTTAACCTGCACCAAAAACATTAACCTGGTCATTCCTTTGCTGAAATTGCAGCATCTGAAACTTTGACTGGTACAATGAAACACATTAGAAACATCTTCCATGCATGTCTAATCAATATAGGACATAGAAGTACTTAAAAAGAAAACTGCTCCAAAAAACTTAACCTTAACCCGGGACGCCGACACCGATGCCGAGGGTATCACATAAGCTCCCCCCAACTTCGTTGAGGTGAGCTAAAAATTATAATCATGAACCTCCTCCGGATAATGGAAATCACTGGTTCAAATTTGTCATAAGTCTGATACATATATCTGTAATGAAAAGTTGTACACATTACTTACTAAGCTACTTCATACTTACTTTGTGGTTATAGGGTAAATGTTTGAATAATTCTGGGCTCATGTAAGCAGGTGTCCCGACAAAACTCTCTGCTTTACTTTGATTCAGCTCAAGTAACCTAAATGTAACCAACAATGCATTAGAAACACTATAACAGACAATTGTACCTTTTTTGGGGGGTAAATTTGTAAGTTGCTCATCAACATAAAGTCGATCATTATAAATCTTTATCCACAAATTTACATACTGCACCAAGAAAACCTGAATAAATTAATGAAATATGTAACTGGATGAGATTAGGCTCAATAATTCTAATAAATATTAACCTTTAGAATACCTCTCTTCAATCTCTACATCAATTATGAACAAATTCACAAAATAAATATTGATTGATGCAAGGCTATACATGGACAGTGTATATACATACATTCTGAGTAATAACCACTGGACTACTTACTTTGCGATGCCAAGGTCTCCCAGCTTCAGAGAAAGGTCACTCATCAGGAAAATATTCTTGGCTTTCAGATCTCTGTGTAGAATCTTCTGTCCATGAAGGTACTGATAAACAAACAACACACATAAAGTATAACTTATAATGACTACAAATGTAATAAGTCACTCTCACATGCGTGTGTTTGTTTCTCTGATTGTTAAGTGTCCCTTAAAGAATTTTTCTCCATAATGACATTGAAATGCCACCAATGGCCAGTGCAAGGCTGTGCTCAGCACTTAAGGCCTTAGGGCAGTGAGGGATCTTTTTAATGCCAGCACCTACTGTGACACAGAACAAAATTTGATATGGTCTTATTCAAAGAACCAGTCTCCATACAAGGCAGGGCTCTTGATTCTCTATAATTGGGGCCGTTTATGGGCCCCATTCCCAATTCAAAAAAGGTACCTTTTTTCCCAATTGAATGTGTTAATTTTCCCAAAAGTCATTTCTCCCCAAAATTAAAGAAAAAATAGCTGGGTATATAATAATAAAATTTGTTTTTCACATTCCTCTGTATTGCAAAACAATAATTTAGTTGAAAACAAAGATCAGAAACCCAGTATATCATGATATCGAGAATAATCGTTATTCCCAAATTCCCAAAATGTTGCTATTTTTCCCAATTTCGACGGACCCGGACCCATTCCCAAAAAGTGGTGTGAGAGCCCTGCAAGGTAAGGATCAAGTCCTTATTCTGAGACTCACTGTGCCAAGCAAATGACTACATGTGCTAGTGAAGATATACATGTATGTGCAAGTAAAGGAAAAGTTAATGAAACATGTACATTCACTCACAAGATTTACTTTTGCAACTGTATATAAGAACAATGCTCTATCTTTATAGCTCGAGACTAAATTCATAGACAGGATAAATGTACTTGCATAAGGTTCTCAAGGTCAGATGGTGCAAGAAAGTGTTCAAGAAAATTTTAAAATTTGCCAATATATCTACTGCATATGAACTTCAATTGTCTAATATAACCCCTAGTAGTACCAAGTACTATATCACAAAAAAATCAACTGTGGCATGTAGGCATATAGAAATTAAGAGCTAATGAGTATAATATCTCCTGGTTGAACATGTATATTTAACCTTGTGATTCAACTTCTAAAAAAGATGAAATGCATATATCTTTAATGAACTATGTAAACACATTCTAATTTAAAGATGAATTTCTACACATACAATAACAAGATGTGTACCTGAAGTCCTGATGCTATCTGGTAAATCCAGTGACAGATTCGAACTTCAGGCAGGCTCTTCCCATTTCTGTTCCTTAGATACACCTCAAGGTCACCCCCATCACAGTATTCTGTTACTATATTTAGACACTCGTCATCTTCAAATGATTCAATGTAGTTGAGAATGTATTCGTTTCGGACCTTGGACAGAAGTTCTGCTTCTCTCAAGGCCTGTGTTCGCTCTGACTCTTGACCCTGAAAGTTGATTCTTTTCACTGCATACTGTAAAGAAAGAACATTTTGCACCCAATACATGTTTATCATGTACATTACACACTTAAGGCATGCCAATTTTTTTTTTTAAATAAGAGAAGAAAATTGAAGAACTTCACCGTGTTTTAAAAAGCTCCAAACATGACAAACAATGTAACATACTTTTTGTAAGTATGAATTTGAATATAATTAAGGTTTTTGCAGATTTCGATCTGAGCAAAGTTTGCATGAAGATTGAAATGAATTACATAAAAAGTAATTAGATATTCAAAGCTTCTTTATTTATTTATATTCTATTAGTTTTAAACAAATAAAGGGACATTGGGGAAGCAAATATATAGAAACATGGAAATGTGTAAATGTCAGCATGGTACTATACAGAATGGGGGAAATCCCTTGCAAACCCAGGTATGAGGTGACGTAGCAAACAATGAACATGTTACAAAATTCGATATACAGAAAACAATTTTAGAGGACAATGATATGATCATCATCTGGAGATTGTCAATCGAAAAGTCAATATATTAAGACCTTCAAAATCGGAATTCCCGCTGATAACTTATTACCCTTCGATTCTCCTTGTCCTTAATCAGATACACAATGCCGAAGGATCCGTTGCCAAGAATCGCTTCAAACTCTAAAACTACCTCCTCCTCCTCCATAATAACATCTTTCAGAACTCTTTATTTCTTTCCGGGGTTAGTTGTGACATGTTGACATTTTGCACATGGGTGAATGGCTTCCTCGAGATTGTAAACAAATTGATCGACGTCGGTGAGGTGTTTGAAATTTTACGTTGACTAAAATCAAGAATCCAAACTGTTACGAGAAAAAATCGATTTTCATTTTGATTAAAAAAAAAAAAATTAAGGTTCTTACATACATTAATACAATGTTCTTCAAGGATTTTGATTTTTTTTAAAAGATCATTTCAATTAAACATATATTTTAATTTGATATATGTCAAAACCCAAGAAGGGACTTTCATTCTAAATTAGGCTTTATTCAGTCAATAAAAGATGTATTCCTTGAGTACTTTTTATTAACTGCCGACAATCACTTTTGAAAGTTAACTTGTCGAGTTTCATTTATTACCAGCATAGGAAATTATATGATGCAACGCCAGTCTCTAACATTTTAATGACCTATGGCCTGATCCAGTAAAGTTGATTTATTATAAAGTTTCCCTTTGCATGTCCAAAAGGTATGCATACATCTATTCCGTTAAAAAAATCTGTTTACAAACTCACAATTAGTTCTCTGATAGAATTCTTTTACGTAATGATTATGTACAGCCTACTTCAGGTAAATGATCCAACATTCACGAGTTTTTCATAATGTTACTGTAATAATGTTCAAGTTATCTCCCCCTAACCTTCTACTCAATGATTTTATGCAAATTCTCAGTCCTCGTCACTTAGGCACAGGTTTAATACTATATATAAGTCTTTATGCCTGCGATCGAAGTTCAGGAGCCTTGAGTGTGTACTTGCTCACAACCTATGAGATAGTGAGTTCTACTCACGAATCAAGGTGATTCACCAGTCTTCGGTACCCTTTGATAAAGGCCTATCAAACCTGGAGAGATAACATGCTCCATGGAGATATTGCATCTAACCACACCCCTTATTTTATCAATTTCATGCATATAACATGTTTGCAAATCTTAAAATCAGTTTTCTGATAGAATGTTGATGCCTCTGCCAGAAAATGGTCGATGCACTTAGTCAATATCCCTTTTCCGGACGTCTCTACTATGCTGTTAGAGATAATGAGCTGATTTTCGGTTTTTCTCTTTCTATTATTAACGGTCAGAAAAGTTATGCAGAGATTCATTGTGTCATGATTTGCATTTTGCTCTTTTAAGGAGCTTTTTTTATTTCTAAATTTTAAAATGATTTTAAAAGAGTGTTAAGAACAAAATACGGTATTAGCAATAATTCGCCGCAAATAATACGATATTTTAATCCTCTTTGTATCATTGTTTGATGTAATGTATTGAAGTAAGGAAGATGCGAAGTAAATTCTCCAGGTACAAAAATGACGTAATTTTTAACTATGACGTCACTGATACGCGCTAAACATCGAATGGTTGCGCAAAATCGTTAAATTATGCTGAAAAATGAGTAATCTTTGCTGAAATTAGACCCTTTCACATGCAACAACCACTTTTGTACTCCGCATATAAGTTCGTCATTACATATCTTAGTTACACTATAAAAATAGTGTTGGTTGTTACCTGTGATCAATATGAATTTTACAAAAGTTAGCATACGGAAAAAGATATTCTACCGACGCAATGTTCTTGATTCGATGCTAATGACGCTTAATTTACACAGAATGAGATTTTTTATTTCAAGTCTCATCACTGGAATTAGTAAACTAAATAAATACCTCTAAATATACATAAAATATATTGAAAACAAAGTATAAATTGCAGTAAAAGATGCTGCTTATGCTGTCTGTACATCGTATGCACTTGCATACACGTAAAGTGTCCGTCGGCTGTACATGTAGCATTGAATAGCAGCACAAAAATATCATTCACAAAAATAGCACGATAATTTTTAATCTTATTATTACAAGAATAATTTAAAAAATCTGTGATACATGTACCTCCAGTATAATTATATTTTCCTTTATTACACACTTGGTAATAAATACAGATTTTTTGCATATGCGATATGGCTGACGTCACAATAGCCGTATCAACCCTGCAGGGCTGATATGGATTTGCGGGGCTGATATCCGTATCAGCCCTGCAAATCCATATCAGCCCTGCAGGGCTGATACGGCTATTGTGACGTCAATATCACACCCTTAGTAAATTAAACCACAATAACAGCACTTGTACTCATACACAATTTTTGGTGGGTTCATATTCTCTTAATTTTAACTTTTTGAAAATAAGGTTAATCTTAATTTACAAATACATGTAATACTATAGAATATTTTCAAATTACGGATCAAGTGCATTGAAATAGAAATAGAAACAAACCCAAATCTTATGAGATATTAGACTATGTACATGTATGTAAGAAGTCCATGCATGATTATTTACTTATTTTCTTCTCAACTGTATTTTATTACTAAGTATGTAATAAATATAATAAAACATACCCTTTTCCATATCACATCCTGTATCAGCCCTCGACCAATATCAGCCCTCGGGCCTTCGGCCCTCTGGCTGATATTGGTGTCTCGGGCTGATACAGGATGTGATATGGAAAATGGTATGTATTATTCTCTATTTACGAGTCTTCCTCAATGTGTTGATGTCTTTAATACTAGTCATTTAAGTATAGTGTGACCTCCGAACAATCATGACAACCATTAAAAATACAATAAAATGTACATACATTGAATAAACTTTTACGATAACATTTAAATGTAGCATTAAGGTACATGTATGGTTCAACATTTAATTTGTCAGATCAAGTATTGCTTTACTTTAGCCTTTAGTTGTGAAATATAAATATTATATACATGCTGTAAATCTTGGCAGCGTGTCGTTGAGAGCAGATCAAAAAATAAAAAAACACAACCAATCCAAGAAAATAATAGATACTAGATACATGTAGTGTGCACATAAATAGTACGATAGAGCGCATACAAATTCAAATGTTTATTTATTATATTTTTTTGCAAATATTTTTCTGCATTGAACATTACTGTGTAAGTTAAATTAAGCCCCTCCTCCCTCACTTTCCACAGACACGTTACAGTATAGGTTTGAAATTGGGAAAGTAGTGCTGTTTGGAAAAAGTCTCGGTACTGAAGTTCGAACCTTTAACCCCCCCCCCCCCCCCCCCCCCCCCCCCCCCCCCCCCCCCCCCCCCCCCCCCCCCCAACGAAATAGGTTCTTCGTGTTTTGGACAATGGACAAAACTTTTTTTTCTTGCTTGTCATTTTTTTTGTGGGGGGGGCTATTTTTTTTTCTTACACGTAGCCCTCCCCACCCCCACCCACCCCTCTTTTTATTTGCTTCCGAAGCCAATGCAAAGTCATAAATTACATGTTTACAGAAAATTAATATATATTTAGAAACCAGTGGTTATTTGGTAACAAAAAAAAAAAGATTTACAATGATATGTGCATATTAGGGAATTTTGAAAATCTGACATTGATCATCGCGACATTCAGCAGCTTCTGACTTGTGATCAGTGGGGATTCTGAAAAAAAAATTCACAAACGATTATACTTATCCGACATTATTATCAACATGTATTGAATATGTAAATATACATAGAAATGACTCTTATACGTACATGTAAGTATTTACACGGACTTATAAATTAAAGTGTAGAGAGCTTTTCAAGCGAGAAAAGAGTAGAGTAGTCTTTTGAATACTAAAACAATAATAATTTCGGAACAGGTGTTTAAAACGTTTTAAGCAAATTGAAAGAATGCCTTTTATATTATTCAGTCAGAACCGAGTCCGATTTATAACCCCCCCCCTCCCCCCCCTTATCCCCCTCCAAACAAAACTTTTAATCAAAACTTTTACTGATGATTCGTTTTCAGTCTTATTAGATTTCATTTTACATGTCTTATTAACCCCCCCCCCCCCCAAATATTGTGTAAGGCATAATAAATAATATGAACTCATTAAACTCAGAAAAGGAGGGGGGGTATATTTAAATTTCAAATATTCAATATATCACAGAAAACAATCAGTTTTAATGTACTCATTAACTAATTTGAAAAGTTTACTGTGCTGATATTTTTTTAAATCGGGATCGAAATCCCTCGCATTCTTTATATGATGTAATATCTTTATTGGCAAATTGACCATTAGAGGGTGGTCTCTACTCTACATTATATAATCATAGTATTCTAAACTACTGTTCCAATAATTATGATAATAATATAAATTATAATTATCTTGACATTCGAGCTTTTTTAAAAGTTCGTGCACCTTACATACCATACCAAATTCTAAAGAACTGTTTTTGTTGTGTTTTTTTTTAGTGCCGGGAAACGTTGATTTTTTTTTCCATCAGGACGTTTTTTCACTAGATCTGATGTAAAGATTTTTTCTCAATTTATTTAAGAGAAATAGCTAAATAAATTATTAAACCCGTAAAATCAATGCAATAAAAAGAAAACAAATCTCAAAGAGAAAAAACTGTTTATTTCTTTTTCTCCCCGTTCCTCTGTTGGATTTAATTCTAATCGACTAAAGCATAGACACTTTTGTGGAGGATTACATTGTAAGTAATAACGATAATAAATTTTATAAAAACAAAACAATAATGACGTATTAATAAATCAACAACTTCATTTCTTAAATTTATAATTTATATTTACAGTGTAGTATAAACTGTATCCTAGCGAGTTAATTAGAATTTTCAATTTACGCTTACGCGGCTTACTACACGTTTAACGTATTCATGACGTCGCGTCAAAATTCTTCGTAAAATCTCGACGTTCTGCTATAAAAGGTACTGTATTCAGCGTTATTTTTCCAATGCATACATTTAAGTCAGGTATATAAATTATATATCATTTGATTCTAAAAATTCTAAGCTTTTTAAAATGTTTTGAACGGAGCATGTCTGACAGCCGGCATTTTTTGGCCAATACCGTACTTTGTTCTTTAATCTATTTGCTCTGGTGCTCTCCAGGTTTCCAGCATTTCGCTCGGCACAGTACATGTAAATCAAAATCAAGCCATTTTGTGCCTAAATCTATTATA